AGTGTGAATGTCTGCATCGAGCCACGTCTGGTCGTGCTCTCGAATACTGCAGAGCTTCACAAACTTTGCGGTCATTTCTTCCTTGCTTCCCGTCTCCGCGGTGCTCTGCCCGACGCCGGAAAGCTACCTCGAATGAATTTCTCATTTTCCCTCTCATCTCTGCGTGATTTCGTTCGTGTGTGATGCGAGCGGTGGCGCAGAACGTGTTTTACCTGATGGAGTGGCGGTGGGGTGTTCTGAAGTCGTCCGTGAAAATGCACTGGAAGGAAACTTCTATGTATTCCTACACACGCACACACACATCCGCATTTGCAAATAAGTCAAGCACTATTTAACCTAGTATGAGCACGTCAAGAGGCGCGAGACTATCCCGAGGTATTCATGCATCCAACTGGGATAAGTACGAAGGCGAGGAAGCCGCACATGGGAGGGACTGATGCTGCCAGCCGCCCTTTTCCGTCTCTGTCCGACCGCGTCGACGGCGAGTGCACGACATTGTGTTGTGTCGTTTCCACGGCCTCTTGCTTTTCTGCCCTGCGTCCTCCTGCACCATTCTCCTTATTCGTCTCCTCTGTGCTCATCTTTTTGTTTGTTTTCTACATGGCGATGAAAGACATCCATTGCTTCTTGACTTCCCTAAAGCCATCGCCCCCTTTCATCATTTTTCACAGTTTTCTAACCGGGCTCCCACCGGCACTGCTCTTCCTCCGTTTTGGGGTTTTGCTTTCCAGAGGGAGCGAACGCCGTGCCTCGTAAAACAAGATGTCTGCGACTTCTGTACTCTGAGGTGAGTGACACCACAAAGAAGTTCGTGTACGGAACATCGATAGTGATGCGTCCGTGATATTGCTGATGGAGGCCGCGACGGAGGACAAGGCGATAACAACGGACGCCACCGCCTCCCTGGCTGAGCAACTGAACTGCGGCAAAACTCCCCTGACGAGCAGGAGCGGAGAGGTGGTGTTGTGGTGGCACGACGTGGGAGGCCTGACGGACGCGCAGCGGAAGGAGCGGTTCATCGGCTTTGCGGGGGCCTGAAACGGCTTCCACCGACAGTGCTCCTTTCTTGTCTCTGCACAACGGTGCATGCCTGACAAGAAGCGTGACCGGGGCTGCCGGGTGACACTTCTTCCTTCTGGTACACAGGATGAGACGATGCGGTGCCACAACCACCAGGTTGGCCAGGAGTGTGAACTCGTCGAGGCGACGCCTGCTCGACGAAATCATCGAACATCGTCCCGATGCCGCTCTTCCCGACGTACGCGGAAATCTCTCGCCTCAAGCAAGACGTGCGGAGCATCGTACGCAGGAGCCAGCCTGCAGGGGGGCGCGAGTTGCACGAGGACGAGCAGCTGTTTAGGAACCTTCACGCCACCACCACTTGCTCTTGATCTTCTGGAAGGGGACCGCTACGCCGCGCCGATCTACGTCGCCCAGTGTAAACACATCGCGGCTGTGGATGGGACGCAGACTGAAAGCCTCCGTAGCCGAATAGCCGGCGGGCTCCGGCATCGCACCCCCACGCTACACCCATATGCAGCGTCCGGCGCAGGTAGGGGGCACAGACGCGGACGTGGACAACGGAACGGACGAGGTCGCTCCATCTGCCGAGGCTGTGTGGGCGGCGGACTGTTGGGACACGTAGGTGGCGTAACTCCAAACGAAGGGTGACTGAAGAGCCGAAGACCTCTGGCGCTCCAGAGTGCGAGCTGCCTTCACGCCACACCCGTCAACTGCCTGAAAATGGAGGGTGTGGTGCTGGAGGGCGGAGGTGTTGCCGCGTGCACAACCAGTAGTGCAGACATGGGCCGGATCTCCGACACTGCATGCACGCCAAGACGGTGTTGCGGTGCGACACGCCACCTTCATTAAATCCCCCACACGCGTGCGGTATCGAGAAGAGATTTCAAGGGGCACGGCGATCGTTGTTTGTCGCTTGTTCTCCGGGCCCAGCGGATCGCAATCTACTTCTCGTCATCCTCGGTGCGCGTACATAAGGAGCTGAGGAGGGCCTTCGGAGAGGTGTGGCCATCACTCTATGCTGCCCACGGTCGATGCGGTGATGAGCGCAGGCACAGCGGCGACTGCGGCCGTGCCATGGTCGCGTTGTTTTGCGCTCCTCTTCTCGGCCTGCGTGCGGCTCACCCGGGATCGGTGCCGCGGCGCTTGCGGGGGCAGCTATCCGACTCTGCGAGGAAGCAGCCACCTGACAAAAGCTTCTCAAGGCGGATGAGAGAGATGCTCAAAGGTAGTGCCGGTCAAGGCCGCCGCGCCGACGACTGGCTGAGACGCATTGCCGAGGCAGACGCAGCGAGTGCAACACGCGGTGTGCGGTACACGCTCGTCGCTACTGTTTTGGCAGCGGTGGCCGACGGGGTGTAGCGGGCGGTCGAACCCAACCACGGGGAGGTGGAAGGAGGGCAGTGGCCAACGGTTCTTTGGAGGAGTGGTGGTGCACGGCTTTCGCGTCCGGGTCTCCGTCGCGGTGTGGGCGGCGTGTCGGGAAACTCTGCCCTGTCGATGTTGCTGCGCAGGCGGCGGCTCCCTCGTTCGACTCCGCACCTCTCTGCTGCTGGCGCACACGGAGGACTATGAGGCGCTGACGGCGGGTAGTGCTGCGTGGCTGCCGCATCGAAAGACGGCGACACCGCTGGACGTGGAGGCTGTGCCGCTGATGCTTGCAGCCGCCAACGGGACTCGTGGCTTCTTGTTGACGCCTCTCGTGTGTTGCGCGGTGCCATTCTTTGTGCCTGCTGCATTTGATGCCTAATGCAAAACGTCCGGCTGACGCTGGCGGAAGTCGGTGCTACGGCAGTGAGGGAGAACGGAGGGCCACGATCGGCGTTGCTCAGCGCGCGCAGATGAGCAGACGCGGCGCCCCATGCCGCACTGGTGGCCGTGCAGTCCCTTCTCGCTGGCGTACTCGGACGCCCTTTCGCGCGAGGCCGCCGCAGCGAGTCCTGGCAATGTGACTTCGACGCAGGTGTGTGCGTGTGAATGCGTTTGGGGTCTTGGCCTGCGCCTGTAGCTCACCAGGTACGATGCGCTCACCAACACCCCCTTGTGCCTTCACTGCGAGCATGATGCTGGCTCTCGTCCATACAGCGAGAGAGCACGTTAAAACGACAGGTTCACCAAAGCCTGAAAAGAGGAAAAAGAATTAAGCGTCTGAAATGAGAGGTGTGGCAGAGGCAGAAGGAGATGACGATAATTGATGGCCGGCATTTGCGCTCAAAGCGGAGGGAAGCAGTAGAAAAAGATTTACGAGAACAAACAAGACAAGAACGGCTAAATACAACTGTAAAAGGAGAGAACATGCGAGTGAAAGAGGGGAAACAGAGAGTAATGTAAAAACAAAGGGCGAAACCTACAGAGATTAAAATAGTCACGACGGTGTCCTTGACTGCCGAGAACGCCAAGTGGCTCCCGCAGAGCAGGTGTGCTGTCAAGGCGTCCTCTGCCTTCCCATCTTTGTCGTGGGGCATGGGATCGCTGGCATGCTGACACACCTGCCCCGAAACAACAAGGAGTCTGCAGTGGCGCTGACCACGTACGCCTCGGCACCATCGCCGGTGGTGGAGCAGCTGCGCTCTGTTTTTGCCCGCGGGTGGCCGAGGCTGTGCCTTGTGAGGGCACACCGTCCACATCAGGAGCGCGACAGCGGCCTTGATATGACTGCGAACTGTTTGGGGAACGTTTTGAACGTTCTTATGGTCGACTGCCACCACTTGCCTGGGTGTTTGCGCCGTCTGCTGTTCATCGCGAAGCAGCACAAACAGCTGCAGCACTATTCCCTCAAGAGGATGCGCACGGTGCTGATGAACCACCGCATCTCGCGCAAGAGCTCCTTCTGCGAGGAAATTGCACTGGCGCTGTGGAAGAGGCAGAGGGCGTGGCCGTGGTGGCGTGTGGCGGGCTCTGCAGGTGCCGGACGCGACGCTGTCTACCACTGCGGCACCACTCCACCGTGGCGAGGGGCCAAAGAACGTGCGGCAGCTGCCCACCGAGAAGAAGCAACTGCAGCAGCAACGGTGGCTTCCTGCTGACCGGCGGAGTGTCGCAACGTCACGTGCTCAACAGTCGGCACACCGCGCCAGCTCGGACGTGATGAGCCCTCCGCTTCCTCAGCGACCGCACGGCAACAGGCACAGGAGACGAGCAGGGGCATGAAAGGAGCTGACTCTTGCCGGGAGTTTCTTGCGGGACAGGCGGCCGCCACCACGATAGCGGAGGTGAACAGAGCACCAGCGCGACAGAGAGGCGTGACACAGTGAGGGCTGCGACAGTTGTGGCGATGTCTGTGCCAGATGTGGTGGTGGTCGACTCGAGGGCCTGGCCACGCCGAACACAACACGGCCGCTGCACGGCATGAGAGCCGGACCCTTTACAAGGCGGCGCAGACAGGCTAGCAAGTCGTGGCGGGCGACCATCAGAACGTTAGAAACGTGCCCGAAACAGTTTGCAGTCATGTAGAGGCTACAGTCGTTGCTGTCGCGCTCTTGACGTGGACGGTGTCCCTTCACGAGACGCAGCCTCGGCCACACGCGGGCAAAAACAGAGCGCAGCTGCTCCACCACCGGCGATGGTGCGGAGTCATACGTGGGAAGCACCACCGCAGACTCCTTGCTGTTTCGGGGCAGTTGTGTCAGCATATCGGCGACGCAACGTCTCACAACAAAGATGGGAAGATAGAGGACGCCTTGACGGTGCACCTGCTCTGCGGGAGCCACTTGGCGTTCTCAGCAATCAGAATCGCCGTCGTGTCTGTTTTAATATCTCTTGTTTTCGCGCCTTTATCTCAAATTCTTCTCCCGCTTTCCACTCCGTTTTCTCAGTCGCATCTTCTTTCCTTTTACAGTTATATTTAGCCGTTCTTCTCTTATGTGGTCCCGTACATCTTGTATTTCTTCCGCTTCCCTCCTCTTTGATCACAAATGCCTGCTATAAATTATCGTCATCTCCTTCTCTCTCCGTCAAGCACCTCACACTTCCGATGTGTATTTCGCTTTTTAAGATTTCAAGTCTCGGAAGATCAACCGTTCTAGCCTTCTCTCTTGCTACATAGAGGAGGGCTGGCAACGTTACAACTGACGGTTCTTCTTTCAACCAATCAAGCGTTGTGTTTTGCAAAGCGGATCACCAAGACGGTAAAAAGGGATCTTGGGTCTCCTTGAATCCACACTCACATGCTGGCCAAAGAATGACCGTACTCCACCCTCTTCTTCTTGCTCTGTTCTTCAGAGAATGCAACGCTGCGCTGAGAGTGCAGCAGGGACAATCCACTACCAAGAAATATAAAAGGGAAAGAGCTGTGATACAACTGAGACGCTTCACTTGGCATGTTCGAGTCACTTCTGTCTGGTTTCCACCTTTTTCAAACGCAATGCACTTCGATGCGCAGGATTCAGCTTTTGATTTCATCTACCATCGCCTTTTGTGGCACCACACTTTTCCCCCGCTAGGCAGCTCTCAGCAACTGACACGATAATAACGCACAGTACCAGGAGAGCGGAGCTGCTCGATGATCGTATGGCGCTGACCCGCTGCCTGCTAACGCAATGAAGAAAGGACACCGTTGCCGTTGTAGCACCGAGCCAGTCGCGCTCAACAGCCGATGTAGGTGACGACCACAGCTCATCTGTGGGTTCGAAGCGCTGCCTCACTCCATTCCTTTTCGACAAAGCACCCGCCTTGGTGGAAGCACCTGGGAACAGAAAATGTTCAGCAATGATGCCGCCTATGAGACAACGCGGTGCGCTACGTCTTTCATCTGTGATCCAAGCACTCTTGAAGGCAGTTTGTTGTAAGGACCAGGTGCACGTAAAACAACACGATAAAAGACCAAGATCGGACGAGAGAAGGGCAGGGAGACCACATTTCAGAGAGCAGAATGACGAGAAAGATGGCATTACCAGCGATTCAGTAGTATCATCCTCTGTCCTTTACACGCATTCATAGTGCAGATGGAAAGCCACTGCAGGACACCGTTTATTTGCAGTACAACCTTGCCGCGCCCTCTTCGCACTTGTGAGAGCATGACGTGTTACCTTCTCCTGATCACCGAGGCTTTCAAAAAAAAAAAGGGGGGGACTGTTTTCATCAACAGGGAGATTTGAGAGATTACGTGAGTTAGAAACAACAGTTCAAAGAACTTCAACGCTCTGAAACGCTTCTCAACCGCAAAAGGAAAGCGAGAGGTACGGCATCGATCGAGCCAACACTTTAGAAAAAGCTCGAAAGCAAAGAGGAACTCAAAAAAGAAAAGGCATTATAGTTTTTGAGCCCCGTGCCGTTGTTTACCTTCTCTATATCCCGCACGTCCGTTTGGCGTGCATCCACCCAGTGTTTCCTCCCGGTGCCTCCGGTTCGGGTGGCCCCCTGCTGCCGCGTGTGTGGGTGGCGCGGCGGGGGGTCATCTGGGCCGAGGGCCAGCCATAAGAAAAGAGCACCAAGCTAGTCATCCTGACGTTCTGTGCCTCCCGCGACTGATCGCGGTGGGGCGGCCTGATGAAACGAAGTTGCACAGGCGGCGATTGTAGTCGCGTGCATATTTGCCGCTTAGCCGACATGCCCTCGGCTCCGTACGTGTCGCTTGGCCTCACCGCCCTCGCTCTCACCACCTCTCACACAGGACGGTGATATTAGGAAGCCGACCGCCTTCCCCCGGAGGACGCGGCCGAGCTTGGGGTCCAATCAGACACACCGAAAGTACACGGGCCATCACAAGAAAGACACCGGCAGCGCAGTGCTCATTCGTATCGAGTCACTTGTTTTTCAACAGCTGGTCAGCCGTCTCCTGGCCCTCGCTGCCACCCACGTACACCCAACCGCCGCGTCCAGCTCTGCGGCCACGACCAACACTCCCTCCACGCCCACGCTGCGCCACGTAGGGCTGGCTCGGACGAGCCACAGTCTTTGCGGACGCCTTCTGCGCCGCCGACACCTGCCCGATCGTCTGCTGGATGCTCTCCAGCATGTGGTACAGATGCGTCAGGCGCGCATCCGTGTTCTCCATTTGGAGGGCAGAAATCTGCTGGCCCTCCGCGTTGACGATAGGCTCGTAGTACGAGCCACCCTCCATTGCGACCTCTTTTGAGAGGTCGAACACCTTCGCCATGGCGGCGCGCCGCTCCGTCGCTGCCCCGCTCTTGGACAGCTTCGCCGCCTCGAATATCTTCCCGTTCAGGGAAGACATATCCGCCGGGAAAAGCGGATACTCCAGTGTTTCCACCAGAGCTCCCCACTCAAGTTGAGTGGAGGACGGCAGCTGCCCGAAGACAGCCCAGTTATGGTGCATGACGCGGTTTGTGGCCAGCGCCATGAAGAGGAGGTGGAAGAGCTCCAACGAGCGCTCCTCCAGGGTGCTTGTTTCTGTGGGCCAAAGGTATTGGCCCACCAGCACCTGCGTGGGCGTAAGGCGCCCATCGCGCGCGAGATCCGCATACGTCTTCATGAAAAGACGCAGCTGCTCCTCGTCGTACTCGCGCGGGATCGAGTCCCAAAACTCGCGCGAGCGGCGTTGGGCCGCCTTCCAGGGGTGGAGACTCCGCTCTCCCTGCGACTCCAGAACTTGCTGGAGGGAGGATCCGGCCTGTTCCGCAGGCTCCGAAAACTGGAGGCGCTGCAGGACCGTCTCCGTGGCGGCCTTCTTCTGCGCCTCCAACTCCGCGGCGGTGAAGGAGGTGAGGCCAGCTTCCTGAGCCTGGTCGATGACCCGGTGGGCCTGGCGCACCGCCTTCTGCATCCTCTCCCTGAGGTCCCCATCGGAGACCACCGTTCGCGGGACGGACGCGCGTGGAACGGACATACTGTGGAGGGGAACTTGGTGCTAAAGAAAAAGGGAGAGGAAAAAGCTGTCAAACTTTTAAAAATTTGACGGCTGCGGAATGCTTTTGGCGGGAAGGGCGAATGCTTCAGCAATCACGATACATAAGAGAAGAGATCGTGAGGGTTAAAAGAGAAGCAAGAGAGCAGCCTGCAGTGTCGTCGTGCACGTGTCGGAGCATACTGTCAGAATGATATAATTGTTGTTTTGCTCGTCTCGACTGGAAACTCCGCAAAGTTCATTCTGAAACAATGGTACTCCTTCAAGTGCCATGCAGGCTCCGGCTTCACTCGAAAGCCTCCTCTGCTCGTTTCTCAGCCCACTAACGGAAACAAAAACAGAAAGGTTCGAGATTACAATTTATACATTAGTTGATTAATTAATTATGTGACACGCTTGTTCTTCAGAGGGCGAAACTCCATGAGAACCGCCTCCCTAACTCCCTGGCAGTGCCCTGTCGGGGAGAGGGTGTCACTGTGGAGTGAAGGAGACGAGGGCGGTGGTGGGCAGGACGAGAAGAGTGAGTAAAGGCACACAACAGAGAAAAAGCCACAAGTTTACGCAGACACGAAGCCACGCAAGAGGCGGAGACAAGCAGCGAGGAACGTACGCGACTACACTCGCTGGCTGCGTAACGCATGTTATGGCATATCATGCAAGGCGGTCCCTACGCCTCCGTGTAGAAGACGAGAGGCATCGCAGGGGAAGTGACCAGAAAAACCGTGCATCTGGCAAACCCTGCTCTTCTCGGAAACTACAAGGAAGCGCTTGCCTGCAAAGAGCGCAGCCAACAGGAACAATCAGTTGCAACCCTTACCAGGCAAGTGATAGCAAGAATAAGTCTTACTTAGCCGAGGGAGTTGAAAAGCGGCCCTTGTGAATATATATATAACAGAGTCAGAGCACGGAATAAGCAGCAGAAATAAACCAACCAAATGACTGGATTCTTTGAAGGAAAGGTAAGCTAAAATTAACCCGTCTTGACCCGAGTCAGAAGTCGCAACTCAACGAGGAAGTCCGTCGCTGAAGTTCAGCTAGTTAGTTTTCTTTCCCTTCGAAGTGCTTCGCCGCACAACGGTGTTCAGCACACCTCCGTACGAGTCTTTCGCTACGACTTGTTTACGTCCGCCAGGCAAAGTGGTAGCAGCGTCGATAGACTCGCCTGCTACTACCGAGGTGGGTGCGACGTATTCCATCAGAGCGGCGGGCCACAGTTCCGCTGCGTAACTGCGGTCCGTGTTGGCCACAACCACACGCGCCACGCAGCAACCCAGTCGTGACAGCACGCCAACGCAGGCGAGGGAGAGGGCGACGGTGTTGATGCGATTGGCTGCCAGCTCAGCGGTGCAGTTTTCCACGGCGCTTACAATGCAGCGCTGGAGGGAAAGAAGCGAGGTGATTCGTTTTCCAGCAGATTTCGAATTTAAGTTCGTTTTACGTTTTCCGGAGAAGCACTTTTTCGCCAGTAGCATTGCGCGTTGGCTTTGGCGAAAAAATCTGTGATGTCTGTACACGAGAGGTCTGCGGTTCGCGTTGAGAAGGGTCGACAGAACCCCACACTCCTTTCGGATTGCCTCCACCGCTATTTTCTCATCGCTAACGTGGGGTTCGCTCATTCGTCCTCCGCTGCGCGGGTGCCAGTGGAAAGGGATCGTTCAAAAGAGCGTGTTTTTTTTTTGAAGCTCTTCTTCGCAGCTGATTCTTGAGAAGGGCGGGGGAAAAAAGAGGGGGAGAAGTGAGAAAGAAATCTGCCCAAGGAGACCCGTTGCAGCTGTCGCAGTGAGGCAGATTCTGCTTTGCCAATTGCCCGTCAAAGCTTCGAAGCCTGCGCGCGTATAGAACTACTGCGCCGTACCTGTCGCCTCAGTGCACAAAATAAAACGTCTACGGTCTTCTGAGAGTTCCATTTTCTCTTCCAGCGCAACACGAAGCCTAATACTTTCTAAAAAAGCAGTAGATGGTGATACAGTTTTAACGAGACAAAGGCTCGTTTGATAGCAACATTCAGCAGCGAGTGTTTTTGGTTCCGCCACTACCGACTTCCGTCTCCAATCTCACGCTCGTCTGGGTAGCCAGCCACTCTGTGACTTCCTTCATGCCTGCCCATACATCATCCACAGATGATGCCATAAAAACGTCGAGAAGGAGAAAAGGGCTTGGACTTCGCTGACGTCGCATCAAGGTGGTCAACACCCGCACTCGATCTGCAGACGAATCTGCGATGGAGGTGTTTGAAAAATCGATGACGCGCACCGTGCTGACGACCTGCTCCATAAAAGCGGCAATGGCCAGGACAGGGAGCTTGTTGCCGGAGAGGTCCAGCGACTCTAGCGACGGCGCATTGTGCGAGCGAAGGGCCTTGCAGAGAAAGAGGAAACTTCCGTCGCCTTTGGTGCGTCCCTTGTCCACGGCGTTGTGTCCCAGCGAAAGATGCTGCAACGGAAGCGGCGCACCCTTCTCCAGCGCGGAGGCGAGTTGACTGACACAGTCGTCCGTCAAGCTACACCGCGACAACTCCAGGCGCGACAAAGCAGAGGCGCAGCTGGCAAAGCCCACTTTAGTGATTTGCCCGTGCAGATCCACGCCTGAGCAGCAGAGCAACGACGTACCAGCCGAAAAGGCCGCTTGACAAATGCGTTTGAATGAGCCCGAGGGAATGTTTGTGTAGGAAACATCGACAAGACGCCAAACCTTTTTCTTGTCGCCCAGCGCACGCAGGACGCGTTGGGCGACCCCCGTGCTGAAGGTGCACCGGCCCAGGTTGAGCGAGTCCAAGTTGCCGTACACGCTGAGGAGCTGAGAAAGGGGTTCTTCGTCCTCTGTGAAGCGGTGCCCACCGAGGTAAAGATCGGTGACGCCGGAAAGCAGTTGCGCACCTGCCCCAGCCAACACGGAGAAGCACTTGGATGTGAGCAGGTTGGCGGAAAGGTCCAGGGCAAAGCGTGGCCGCTGCAAAAAGCTGGAAAGGGAAGTAACGAACTCCGCGAGGTGCGGGGTATCCTGCCAGTTGCACGCTGATACGTCAACGTGGACGATGGATGGCGCCTGTGCCACTGCACGTCCCACAGACGCCCAGTCGCTGGCCATGGTGGTACCACGCAGGGAAAGGTGTGTCAGGGTGGAGGTGGATCTCACGTACTCTCCTATGAGCGTGGAGCTGCCGACGTGGCAGCCTTCAAGTGACACATGCGTCAGCGTGTCGTGCCGACGCAGACAGGTGAGCAGGCTGCGGAAAGAGTTGGGCGTCATGGAACAGCGAGTCAAGTGAAGTTCACGCCAGCAGCTTTGTGGCAGCGACTTCTGCAACAGGTAGCCCAACTCGCCCACAATCTCCTGCGTATCGTGCTGGTTATCAACGCTCTCGAAGCGGATGCTTCGCGCGGCGGTGTGGTGCAGGAGGCACCGCAGCCCGCGATATCGACTGCGCATGTCGTTGCCAGAAGAGTAGTAGCCGTGCACCACCAAGTCCACCTCAGGCCCCGCGCAGGCTGTCGAGTGGGCCAGGCAAAAGCATAGCTCATCGCGGCAGCTCTCCACGGTTTCAATGCGACTGCGGCCGAGATGAACGCAGCGGTGCGCAAAGGGAATGTTGGGTGTTGTGCAGGAGCCGGCAAGGCAACACGGCTCCCGTACACGACGTGGTAGGTGGCTTTGCACAATTGGCAGCGCTACCCGATGAATGGCTGCGTGCACACTGGCCTTTGTCTCGACTTCATTGCTTGAAGAGACTCCTAGCGATTCGCCTAGCAGCTTCTTCCACAACTCAAACTTGTAAGCTGCATCGTTTGTAAGCTGTAAAGGTTGCATCAAGATCACACACCGCCAAACACGCTCATCGCGATGCTCTTCTTCTCCGCCTCCGTGTGTTAGCCTCTGTAGAAAATTGGAACGTTTGCGAGATTGTTTTGTTTTCCGTACCGGGGGGGGGGGGGGGATAGAGCTTGGTTGAAAACGGCGGTGCCGTGCCAACAAAAGAGCAAAAGAGAAGGTGGCCCAAGAAGGATTAAAAACAATAATGGAGAAACAGAAAGTGTTAACGGGTTGTGAAGCCCCTGATCGACTGGTGTGGCAAAAAGACACACGAGCCCAACAGTAGCCCACGACTGGTTAGGTAAATTGAGAAGAAAAAGCATTTCATAACCTCTTTTTGCTGTTGTTGAGCAGGTAGTGTAACCGTCGAGGACATTGGAAATCGCCTGTTTGTAAAACGCGGAGCCTGAAAGTCTGTATGCTGCTCTTTTGCTGTTACTGGCTTTGTTAACGTAGTGCGATCCTCTCGCGCGATCGGCATCATCTCCACGTTCCGAATGGTGGCCAATGACAGCGCCATTCGTACACATCTGCAGCGGCGATGGAAAAAAAAGAGAGATAGAAGCTACAAAAAAAAAAGCAACGGCAGGTGTGGAAGAAGAACAAAACTTATTCAAAGCCGCGTGCATCAGCAGGCACCCAGACGGGAATAGGAAAAACACAAGCTTTTACCGATATTTTCACCTTCAAAAAAAAGGGAGTGGTCATAAGACGCGCATCCAATTCGCTAGAGAAGAAAGATTCTGCTTGTTAGCGTCGGGGCTTTGCTCAACTGCTGCTCCCGCCCTCCAGCTTTGGCTCCACAGGGAGGAGACGCGTCACACTCTTCCCACACTTGACCTGGTAGCGCTCCACCAAAATGGTCATGTCGTGGAGAAGGAAGACGCACAAACCTGTGTACAGTTGAACACAAATGTGCTGGAGAAGGTCCAGAATCACCTCAATTCCAGGTGGAACAGGGGAGACGCCCTTGGCTGCTTGAGCAAAGTAGATGTACCACCGCTCGAAGAGCTGTCCCTGCTCCAGCGCATTTACAGCCCACGTCAGACAGACATCGTAGTTAGACTCCTGGTGCGTCCACGATTTTGCCTTCTTCGCTAAAGCTCCCCAGACGCTCTTCTTCTGTGGTTTGGCGTCCTTGACGAGGCCGATTTCGTTGTCTAACGAGCTGCGCAGCTCCCGCTCCACATCCACAAACTTCTTGAGACACTTCTCCGTCTTCACAATATCACCTAACGTCGTCATGGAGCGCAGCGGCTCCATTGCACTGCACAGCGAGGACATGTATTTGATCTTAGCGCTGATAAAGCGCAGTGACGCCGTGCCGCTGTCCTGCAGCCACACATCCCTCGACACGTACAGACTGGGAGTGAGAAACGCGCCTTGTTGGATGGAGCGCTCGAGGAGACGCATGAGCCAGAACACACGCGAGAACGGTGAACGAGGTACGCGGTAGTCCTCGATGGGAACGGGGGCTGGTACGAACTGAATCGTGAAGGAAGGGAAAAAACTTGTCTGCTCACGGGTCCACCGTGATCGCCGCAACATGTCGATCTTGCGACGGATTTCCTCCGTGTTTCGCCGCACCGTCTCCGCCACGTCGGGCAGCAGGACTTCCACGACGGCGTCAAAGCGCGTGACGGCGGCGGTGTACATTTCGACCGCGTTGTCCACGTCACCGGAAAAGTCGAGCGCGGTCGCCTGCTGGAGCACGGCCAGCGCCTCCATGAGCGCCTCCACACTCGTCTCTGAGTGGGCCATCGGCTGCAGAAGAAAGACAATGAGGGATACGACGCTGGTCAGCTGTGGTTGACGCGTTGGACGGTGTTTTTTTTTTATAGTCCCAGAAGAACAAGACGAGCGTGGGCGTGGGATGTGCAAAAGAGAAAACGACGCACTTGGAAGGCACGACGACCAAAACCAGAAAAAGGGGTATTTGCACAAGACGGGCAAAGAAGAGTGAGGGGGGACGTAAAAGACGACAACAGCATTTTAGAAGAAAGACGAAAACAAAGTGCTTATCGAAGGCGGCAGCCGTGCAACTAATTCTGCTCTCTTCACTAGCGAGTGCAGAGGAAAGCGCAGACAAGACTGTCCTCATGGGGCCATCGTCGACGTCTGTGTCACAAAGTCATCACCATACACAGCCGGCCACCGTCTTGGAAACCGAAAGAACCGCGAGAGCGACAATCTTGGCCATTCGTTGACTCAAGACGCACATACGCGGACAGCGCATATTATTGCACAGCAAAAAAAAAAAACTAACATTTTAGTGTGTTTTTGCTTATCGAGAAAAAACCGGAGACAAAGAAAATAAAAGCTACGCCTTACGTGGTATCCTTCACCACTTCACGAAGGTTCTTAACGGAGACGGCGGGCCTCACGCTCGGTCTCCATGAGGGAGAGCATGTCGTTCTCCTTGCACGGGCCCTTCACGTTGCGCACGATCGTGCGGTTGTAGTCCGGCGAGCCAGACTCGGCCATCAGGCGCACGCGCACCTGCGTCACGTTGCCGCGGGAGCCAGTGCGGCCCAGGACCTTGATGATCAGGCCAACCTGAGCCTGGTCGGTGCCGGAGGCGACGACCTCCTCCACCTTCTTGTTATCCTTCTTCGCGTCAGCCATTGTCACAGTAAGGCTTAAAGGACAAAGAGAAAGAAGATTGCGAGAAGTAAAATCGAGAGAGATTTGTATTGATAAGTGTGTGCGCCGATATTGAGTACAGCGTAGGAGATGTTAATAAAACCATGGAGAATCAAGATAGAAAGAAAAAGTGAGGAGGAAGAAAAATGCGTTGGCTACAAATACGACATCCAACGAGGAGAGAAGCGCAATATCACGCTACAAAAGCAGTCTTCTAGCATTTGTGCTTTCTGTCTCGCCTTCTTATGTGTGCAGTAACACGCAGAAGAAACACAGACATAGCGCTAGTATTGCCCACACATCTCAGCGTGTGTTTTTGTTCAGTGCACCGTCGCACACATCGTGTCCATTCCTCCTGAGCATAGAATGCACGAAAGGAAGCTGGATAAAACAGCAAGAGACCGTCACAACATCAGGGTGTTCTCTATGAGGTGGAAAGACACTTTTCAATATATTTTTTCTGAGAAATAATAATAGTAAGAAAAAAAGAAAGCTGCTACAGATACATCTGTATTAACGGAGACGGCGGGCCTCACGCTCGGTCTCCATGAGGGAGAGCATGTCGTTCTCCTTGCACGGGCCCTTCACGTTGCGCACGATCGTGCGGTTGTAGTCCGGCGAGCCAGACTCGGCCATCAGGCGCACGCGCACCTGCGTCACGTTGCCGCGGGAGCCAGTGCGGCCCAGGACCTTGATGATCAGGCCAACCTGAGCCTGGTCGGTGCCGGAGGCGACGACCTCCTCCACCTTCTTGTTATCCTTCTTCGCGTCAGCCATGATGTGAGAGGCAGCTTTTACGGAAAACGGCAAAGCGTGTGACAGAAAATGTGCGTTATCGACGTTAATCGAAGGTGTTGCAGAGGGGAGGATGAGGAGAGAGAGGAAAAGCAGTTGGAGGTCGCAATTAGTGAGGAGAAAGGACAGCACCCTCTCTTTCTCAAGCATGGCCGAATGAGCGTGGCAAAAAAAAAAGCTACCGTTAAAAAAAGAAAAAAAAGAAACATCTTTCCAAGACGAAAGCCCGTCTGGAGGTAATCCCATTTCCTGTGAGTGTAACTTGAGAAAAGCAAGGCTCAGTTTTTGGCGTCGCAGACGTCATTCAAACCGACAAGTCACGAAGGTCGAAAATTTTCTTCGTAGTCTTTTGGGCATCAAAGCCTGTCGCGTAAAGAAAAAAACAGAGTGAGGCAAATTATTCTCTGTTGCAATAGAGCACGAAATGAAGTGGGGCCAAGGGCAATGAAATGATGGAGAGAAAGGTATTCAAAACGAGAGAAGGCACCAATGCACCTCAACGCATGTACGATTTTGATGATAAAGGGAGTGGAGATAATACAGACACTTAGATGTCAAGGCCGATTCTACGCTGATTCGCAGATTACACTGTTGAAGCTCAGATATCAGAAAAGGGAAAAGGTTCATTTACAAACGCGCAAAACAAAAAAAAGCGGTGGATTTTATCCATTCAGTGACTGAAGGAGCTGATCCACGAGAGTCTGCCGCTGCTGCGAGTCCATGCCCAGTGCGCAGCGAGTGATGTCGTGCGTGCCTGGACACTTCATTTCGTGAAACACGTACGTGCGAAGGTAGCAGTACGTGAAGAGTCCCATCAAGCCTTGGCAATCCATGCGATCAGTCATTCCGCCGTGACCGGGAATGAGGTCGCCAAAGTCCTTCAGCTTGAAGGCACGTTTGAGACCACTGGCAAAAAAGCCACCGAATGGAGCTAGGAGAGAGGCAAAGGTCCCCAGCACCAGTGCGTGCTTCTGCGCGGGTGAAACGAGAAACGTCGTCAAGATGCCGCCGGAGAGCTGCTGCATCCAACGCGGAAAAGCAACTTCTTCCTGGAGAAAAACAGAGTTGCGCTCGCAGTGCATGTTCACCGTATTGGTGAAGCCAACCGCTGGGCAGTACATCTGCGGAAAGTAGCTCAAAAAGCCACAGAACCAAAATGCCCAGATGACGGTGAAGACGAACGCCCCGAGGAAACCCTCCACCGTCTTCTTCGGCGACAACGCGAGGAGCTTTGTCCGTCCGAAACACTTGCCAAAAATGTACGCCCAAATGTCGTTGTTGACCACGCAGCTCACCGGAAGAAGGAACCAGATCATTCCGCGCACCATGTTGCGCATCTCCCCAGCAAACTGGACCTGCGTGATCACGAGCACCATCACCGTCCACGTGAATTGGATGAACTGGTAGCGATACATGCCTTTGCGGAGGCTTAGCACAAAAATCACAAGACCAAGCATCACCCCGCAGAACGAAAGAAACGGGAAAATGTCGTACACTCCATCAAGCCAGTAAAACGTGTTCTGCATCGGCTCACGCAGACAGGACAGGATAAGGACCAGGAAACTGAGCATGAAGAAGTACCACTTGATGAACACGATAGACGGCAGCTGTCGATCCTTGCGCACACGTTGGTTGATGCGTGTCACCTCGTAAAACATGGAAGTCATGATGACCACCAAAAGAAAAATGCCAAAGCGGATGCCCACCGAGATCCACCCGAGGAAGACGTACGCCATCAGAATAGTAAAAACGGTGCGGTTGATTACGTCCCTGTACCCAGCCTTCTTCTTTGGGTCAGCCGCGGCGCCGGCACCGTTATCAGCCGGTGCATTTTGCTCCTTCGATTCCCCAGCAGCAGCAACTGCGGTGGTGCCCACTCCTTTTGCGGGAATGAGAGGGGAGAGAACGACACGCTCCTTTTTGGTTTCTTTCATGTTGACTATAAAATGTAGTTGACTTCGAATGGAAAATTAATTCCCCGCTCTCTCTCTCTCTCCTCTATTTTGATGCGTGAATTTCAAAAGGGAGAAATCTTTAGTCCGATGTATACAGATATTAGATGGACTACGCACTTCAGGCTATGAAAACTGTCAACCTTATCTCAGGGTTATAATGTATTTTGCTGTGCTTCAAAAGCTCTTAACTCAATGAAAAAGAGTAGGAATAAAGAAAGCAAATACGTGAGAGGAAAGGAAAACACCTCAAAATGAATTGATTAGTGGAGAGCAGTCGCACCAGCAAGATGCGGGTCAAAAACACGTTTCTTGAATGTCCCCCTACAACACAGTTTTCAATGATCTCTTTTTGGCCCTTACCAAAACAATGAAAACAAGTTATGACGAAACCTGTTCTTGAGAAGGACGATAAACGACCTCTTGTGCGCACTCAGGCTCACAAACGCACGGTTTCATCGGTGGGTCACAGCTACTTTCTTCTCTTTTTTTTTTCAATTCAATCGATTCCTTTTACAACGTCAGGTTAAATTGGAACATTTCGATTTCACTTCAACAAGCTACCTTTGTCGTGGTAATGGTGTTGAACACTATATTCATAATCATCACAATATATGCTACATTAAACAATCGCTCATGAACCGGAGTTGATGACGGTGAGTTACAGAAAAAAAAAGGGCTAGCTTGATCTCTCTCCTTTTTACTGAGTACCAAAAGAAGAACGTTTTTAAACCAACAGTGGTTAAGTAGGCGACTATTAAACCGAAAATATGCACAGGACCTAAAACTACCCGAACAAAAAGTACAAGCATCGGAAAAAAAAAAGGGAGGGAAAAGCGCCTGTCCGCGGAGACGGCCTCCCTTTTCCTTTTTTTTTTTGAGATGTACTTCGTTAGCGAAAAAAGGAGGAGACGTCTTTGTGTTCTCCTCTGTGTAGTCGGTGATTTCATTTGCACGTCCTCCTTCCTTCGTGATGTCCTGTTTGCTATACAACAACAACGAAAACACGCGACCATTCAAAATGCTACGTTACTTCCACAGAGCAATAAAAAAAAAAAGGAAGGAGTTCTCTTTCTCTGATGTATACAAAAACAAAAAGACACTACAAAATAAAAAGAGAGAGAAGAAGAAAGTTCGAAACGCGGAAATGCAGAGCCACCCAGTACTACCACAATTTCCGGTCCTATCACGCGAGGCAGCGCGACACCAACAAAAAGGAGAAGCGTCTTGCTGGGAAAAGAAAAAACGCGCAGCACTTCCTCCACACCCTCCAGGCCGCTTTATAATAGCTAGCGGGCAGTATCGGAAAGGGATATTGAAAAAAAAAAGGGGGAGGGGGGGGGGGCAAGTCGTCACCAAAGCGACTATGCTTCCACCACTTTAACTCGCTGAACGACATATTAAAAGTGAGAAAAGAAAAAAAGGAAAATAAAGGCGGAGGGAAAAAAAAACGTTTTGCATTCAGTGTTTCTTTTGCCGGAGACCACAACGGCGCTTCAGCTCATTTTTCATCATTACTGTCTCGCAGTTGCCACCGTTGGTGAGGATAGACGCGTTTTCAACAGCACGGCGGCCGAGGTAGTGGATGGTCTCCCTCACAGGTCCATACGGTAAGTACTTGTAGACATGGAAGCCAGCCTTCGCAAGTGGTACGGTGAGGTTGTCACGCATGCCGAACAGCTGTCCAAAGAACACGCGCGACTGAACGTCGGGGTGCTGCAGCACCAACGCGGTGATGACCTCCAGTGACTCCTTGTTGTGCGTGCCAAAGAACACCTCGTGCTTCTTGTTCGGCTCCTTTTCGAACTTTTTCAAGATCTGCTCGGCGGCTGCGTTGTAGCACTTGTGCGTCTCCTCGATTGTGGGCCAGATGGGGCTCGTGTAGCTATCCTTCTCTGCCGACGCGCGTTCCTGTATCATGTACGCACCGCGAACGATTTTACCACCCCAGTGGAAGTCCATATGACGGGCGCGGACGAGGTCGTTGTCGATGCGGTCCTGCGCATAGGTAAGGTAGCACTGGTACGTGTTGTACACCACGGGCACCTCCTTGTTGTACTCCCTCTGTAGGGAGGCCACGATGGCGTCGATGGCCACTTGGTAGAATGTCTGCTCCGCATCGACCAGCATGCGCACGTTCAGTACCCTTGCCGTCTGCGCGATCAGCCCGAGACGGTTGTTGACGTTCTTCCACAGCTCCTTTTCCTTGCTGCTCATCTGCGGTAGACCTTCGATGAGTGCCTTCTGCACGGGCGTGGGCTCCAGGGCAATGAGCGCCTCCGTGAGCATCTCCTTGTACTCAAAGTAATTCACCTTGCCAACGTTTCGCCGGTCAAGCGCCTTCGCAATCTCCTTGAACTGCTCATCAGTGAGCTTGTTCGATGGGTTGTACTTGTCAAAGCCCGCGCGCAGCTGCTCGTACGTGACAAACAGCTGATGCTTGCGGTGCAAGCCCATGACCACACGGCACTCCTCCAGCTTGACGGTCTCGTTCTCGCCCGTGAAGTGCTTACTCCAGCTTTGGTGCACGGACATCAGGATAGCAGAGACGCGGGCGAGAAGCTGCGGGTCGCACATGCCCGTCACCTTTACCGCCGCCACGCCCGCCGCGTCGCAAGGGCTGTAAAGGGATGCGTGCATGATGCACATCATGTAAAGCTTCATGTTCTGGTCAAAGGTGCTTTCGCTCATCGGGTACTCGACGTTGCACTTCGTAACGAGCCGCGACATGCAAATCTCGGGCCCGACAGCCAAGCCAGGCTCGGGGGCGAAGCCTTCAGTGTCGGCCTCTGCGGCGTAGTCGAGCACAGCACCAACGTTGGTCTTCGCCATCTTGTCGATGGTCTCGCGCACCTCCTGGTCGTTTTCGCCGGCGCAAAAGTAGTTGTAAAAGGACTTCTTTACGAGGATGTTGTACGTCAGCTTTGTGCCCAGGGCCTTCTCGAACTTCTTCATTACCTGGACCGAATTAGTGGCGAGATAGTTGACGCCGCAGAGTCGCAGGAGAATCAATGCCTTGACCAAATACCACGTTGAGCGTTGGCGGTACGTCGTATCGTCGTTGAAGTCCGGCACACACGGTGCCTGGCTGTTGCGCGCCTTCATGGTAGCACAACGGGCCGACAAAGCCAAGGCGCTAACAGTCGGCGCCGGTAGGAAGAAGCGACGCATGATCTGAAAATAGCTTACTCGAAGCAAATAAAATATATAGGAAATAAAATATAGGAAAATAAAATGCGCGGCGGAATAAAATGCAGAAAAGAAAAAAGAGGACAACGTTGGAGAGTGCAGATTCTTTCACGGCAGAGGTGATGCGCATAAAAAGGGAAGGAGGCCAAAAAAAGAAGAGAAGAAAAAGATCAAGACAACAGCAGTAAATGAGTATTTTAGGAAAGGAGGATTGGCGTGACGCGTGTATCAATCGGTTCGTCACGGATTCAATTACACAGAATTTGGTTTCAAAGAACTTGCTTTTCACGAAGAAACTCAAGAATCCTCTGAGCACGTCAGAGTTAAACAAAGAAAAGCATACACCTGCTCGCATGCGATGAGCCCAGAAGTGCGCATCTGTCACAACTTGAAAAAAAGGTCATCCGTTTGAAGACGCTTCGTTAAACAGAATGGCAAAATTTTGTACTCGTAACCCCACAAAAGAAAAAAAATTGTGTTACTTTCGTTTCATGCGCATAAAGAGCGAGTGATACCAAAGCAGACACAATTTAAACAGTATTAAAATGCGTTAAATAAAATTGCCCCTGACTTTATTGAGTTCCTCCTTCAGTAGCGTGTCTACCACCAGATCGGAAGGCAACAATGGCGCACCAGAAATAGGGCAAACATGGTAGTATTTCAGATAGTCTAATATGACATCTTCGTCAAAAATGTATCCCGCTGAAGATAGCACAGGAGTCGACTGAATTAAGGCGTGGCAGAGCGAACAGACGTATCGTGTTGGTACGGAGCGTGGCGGAGGCCCACGCCGCCACCGCGACAAGTCCGGCGAGGCCGTTGTTGCTTTCGTCCTTTCCTCCTCGCTATCGTCCGACGAAGAATCGCCGCTAGTGTCGTCTGCTTCTAGGAGCTCGAGACTGGCTGCGTCGAGTTCCGTGCTTTGAGATTGGTGCTGGGCAAAAATTTGAAACCGCCTCTTCCTTCGCTGTCGCCGCGATTGGCGCCACCGACACGGGCGGCCCCCGCCACGACTTCGCGAGCGTCGCCGCCGGCCTTCGTCGTCGTCGCGCCTTCGCCCACGACTTCGATTTCGATTTCGTCCCCAGCCGCTGGTGTGCGGAGTGGGTTGACAGCCTTGCCGGCGCTGCTCCCTTGAGGCGCTCTTTGCGTAGAGTCTTTGTTCGGCAACGACGGCAGGAGCATCGCTGTCAACCCGGAAGACGGATCGTAGCGCATCGTACACTGGGGTGAAAACATCAATTGGTCTGTTGCGACTTCTGGGGTTGCTCAGCCGGTGCGCAACGCGCTGCTTGCCAATTTCATCAAGATGAATCTTCCACAGCTGATGGACTGCAGCGGCCGGTGCGCTGCATTGCGAGTTGACGACTAATCGCACCAACTGCGCCACAAGCTCCGTGAACATCTCTTCGCCACTTGCGGCGTCAAACTCGGCTGATCTCACGGTCGCGTTCTCGACTACGTTGAGCAGCGCAGTTTTCTTCCCGTTCCAGTACCGATGGCTCTCGCTGCTGCGGAACGCCACAGTGGCGGCCACGTCTACGCATTGGATAAGCAACGCGACATGTTCCGCGGTGAGGAGTTGTTGCCCAGAGAGTGCTTGCATGAGCGGATCGCAGACGTTTTCCAAAAATCCGTATTTGGAAATGATCCGACGGAGCGCACTGACAAACTGATCTGTCTGCGTCAACAGCGATTTGAAGAGCGTAAGGTGCTCGCGGAGCTGAGGCTCGCTGTCTAGGACGGGTTCTGAAAGCGAGCGAGTAAGTCTCGACATGTGCGTGACCGCGAACCGGCAGAAGTCGTACTTGATCAAGTAGGAGATTATCTGTCCTACATGATGCCGGTATGGCCCGGCAGACACCCCAAGGGGTGTACCATCGGTGTTTTTCGAAACTGCTTTTTGGGTGTTGCTTCCGATTCCAAATTGCGAGAGCAGGTCGTCGTACGTCGTCCAGAAGGTCAGCTGATGCAGCACCTGCACAACGCAGAGAGAAAGATACGTCTGAAGCGAGCCGGAAACCACAGGGGCTACGCCAGGTACGGCTCCGCACACATCAGCGTATAACATCACAAGGATCTGCGTCGCACTTTCCACATTCAAGCCCACAAACTCGACAAGATCTTTGGCCTTCATTTTCGCCTTACCTGCCGCGAGCATGACTAAAATCAGATACGACAGAATCTTTTCACCTTCACTGCCGACTGACAAAGAGGTGCTCGACGATCGCGGAGCTGAAAGCGAGGCAATGCTTGGCGCGACTGCGGACTCAACGGCCTCGCTGTGGTTCTCCACAATGGAGAACACGACATCCCTCAGCGGGACTGCTGCGCAAAGAAGAAGACATAGCTTGACGCTCAGCAACGACTCTTCTGATGTCGAAAGATGAGAAAAATTAGCGGAGAGTTTTTGGAACAAAGCATGCGTGCGAGGCAGAACAACAGGAGAGGCACTCACAAGTCCGATTAACGCATGTAACTGTGCGGGTGTGAGTGTATCTCCAGCATTACTTTGCACGACACTTTCAATGAGCGCGCTCATATTCCACCCGAAGCAGTTTACTGTTGTTCCTTCTTTACAGTTGCATAAGATTGTGCAGTTGGGGCTTATTGCAAAAGAAAAAAAAGGCAGAGGTTGATAAGTGGCTAAGAGAAAGGAGCGGCAGAAATGGCTACAAAGGTGTGAAAGATGAACGCAGGAAAGCAAACAAAAATAGTGTGTGCCTCTTCTTTTTTGGACAGAGTTATAATGCTCCTTCCTCGAGACCGTAAAAGAATCCGCGATCGAGGAAACATAGGTTCATGCGAAGAGAATAGACACTCGTTGAATGCCGTCGAAAAAGAGGCATAAGCAAAACTTGCAACTGCTACGCATGACAGCGCCGCGGATGCTGGTGAGTTAAGATTCTCTTTGTTCTTACTGGTCATTGACTTCATCGCTAGATGAGCGAAGCAAGAGAAAACGATTTCGCTAAGCAAATAGAGAGGAAAAACTAATCAGATTAAGCTTATAGTACACTCAAACAACAGCTATAACGACCTTAGAATATATACATGTAACTGGATGTGACACGGGGTGGATAGCCATTCAGCCGCAAGATCCTTTCTCATGTAAGCAGCGCTCGAGAAATCAAAACAAACGCAACTCTTTGCCAGCAACAAAGAGGTGGACAGGATCATATCATTTTTTAGACACGTTGTTTTTAGTATTCAACGAAGAACAAATAGGAAAGGATAAAGAAGGTTCCAGAAAGACGCGGTTTAAACAATCACACTAGAGGGAAGGAGCAAAATCAGCGCTGTATAAAAGGGAATGACATTGAATTTTCAAAGACTCTGGATGCAACGTAGCAATGAACAGAAAAATAAATACATCAAATGAGAGAGCGGAGTAAGAGGCAGGTAACAGATGAAAAGAGTTGCACGGGCTGCTTAACACAAATCATATTACTGTCTGTGAGGAAAAACAGAGGTTGAAAAGGCAAGTCCAAAGAGAGGAGATCATGTAATGCGAACGCGGTAGACATTGCCATTGTCGTCACCGCACACCATGGTATCCCCCACAAAATTTGACGCCGTGTAGACATTAGAGCGCAGCTGCAGGTCAAACAAACTCTCGCCGCTTTCATCATCGCAGCTTATCATGTGCATCTGACCGTTAGAATTAAAACAAAACACAACATTGTGGTAGTCCTTCCCGCCAAAGATTGCAGTTGTCCACAATACTTCACAATCTGAAGAATACGGAGTGGCAAAGGCTGCACTGCTGAAAACACGCAAAGAAGCAAACGAGGAGCCCTCCCATAATATTATTTTCAATTCGCAGCATGTCAGCAAAAGACTGTCGTCGTAATTAAAAAACGTCTGCCACACTAACGATTCGTGACCGCTCAGCTGCGCAATGAGTTGCAAGCTCTGTGCGCTGCAGATGTATGCCCACTGGTCGCAGCTGCGAGAGAACGCCATCACCTCGTTCTTTGTGTGCTGTGCTCCGAGGGCGACAATGACGCCGGGTGCGTTGCAAGGGATCTCGGGCAGCACGGCGCGCAGCTTTGCCTTGGAGGCTGTGATTTTGCGCAGGAGGTTGTCTTGGCACCCACTGTAAAGAAATTTACCGTCCCAGCTGATTGCCACCGCTGTCACAATGCCCGGGTGCTCAAAGAAGCTGCACTCCAGACCGACTGTGCGATCCCAGGAGACTAAAAAATTATCCCGCGCGGCGGTGACGACGTGTTTACGATCAGCCGAGAAGGCGATCCCCAGCAGCGACTCTTGATGCCCGACAAGGCGTCGAACTTCCTTCCCGTCCAAGGAGTACACATGGGCGATGTTGTCGTGTCGATGTGCTACCGCGTACAGCTCCCCATCTTGAGAGAGCGCTATGCATTTGATTCTGCTCGACTGGCTTGGCAAATTCGTTACCTCCACCCCCCGCATGCGCACCGAGCGCTTCTTTGCAGCGACTTTCGGCGATGCGTCCAGCAGCCGTACCGAATCCACCGTCAGATTTTGCGAGGACGCCTCCTCACTGGAGCTGGAGTGACTCAGGGAGGAGGCTAGCAGCGCATCGTTTTTGTCTGCTTGAAGGCACGAATCGCCGTCCTCGACGTGGACGAAAAATGACACAAACTCGTTTTCGTTCAGGTACCCGTCTCTGTCGCGATCTGCGGCAGCCATCATGATGTCCATGGATGCGCGGTTTGCGTCATTGAGCAAGCATGTTGCGAGTTGCAACCCGGAAATGCTTCCTCTTTTTTGCGTGTCCATCAAGGAAAAGATGCGCTTTAAATAATCTACTTTTTCCTCACTCTCTTGCCGAGGTGCAATGTTTTGCAGCTGGGAGTACACCTCGTTGAAGGAGTTACTCAAACCCCTCACTCGTCCTCTGGTACTGCAGCGATTTGACGCTCCCCTCTCACCATTTCGGCCCATTTTAAAATCCTCTAACAAAGACACCTTCTCCGCTGATACGGAGACACGCTGCATGCTAATTCGTTGAAGCACGGCGATCGATGACGACCGCTGCGCTTTTTCCGCGGCCAGCGCCGCTTCTGCGGATTCGGCAGTGTTCTGCAGCATATCAGACCACACGTGATAATCGTAACCAGCAAAGGGCCTGTCCGAACTCATGGACTTATTCACTACTGCGGCCGGATCCGAGGGCGCGAGTGTGGACGCCGGAGCACCTGCGGATGCTCGTTCAAAAGACGCCAGTGGCACCGCTGTGCTACGTCGCGATCGCGACAGCGTTGAAGCATCCTCCGAGACGACGGAGGCCGGATGCGTAACGCATATCCCCATTTGTGTGGTCTTTATTAAGGGTGCCAACGTGCGTGTACAAACATGTGATTGTGTGTTCAAAAAGACTCAAGAGGAAGAAGGAAAAGGAGAGTTTGGCGACCGCAAATTATACATATTCAGGCGAGAGAGAGTTGAGGGCAACCTCAGGCGAAACACATTTGAAATAGATAATACATGTCGATGTAAATTATTGGGAGAGCGAAAACCAAAAGGAAATGCATTACGCCACCTACGAGTTATATGTTTTATTGTGTTTTTCAAGAGCTCAGATACCCTGCGTGTAAACGGCAATACAAATTTTCATAGCGGTAGCAGAAGAAGAAAAAAGAAAGCAGACGTTGAACAGCAAATAGAAAAAAAGAGAGACAGAAAACACATCCTTAAGTTAATCGTAATTCCTTGGCACAAACTCAACTGCAAAGCTCAAACCGTTGAACAAAATACGGACTGAATGTGTAAAGATCATAGAAAATGCCGTTCCTTGTCCCTAGTACAATGCGTGTCGAGGACGAGATATTCTGTACGGTATGCAATAGTGTTGTGTACAGCGGTATATCCACACACGTGAGTCCAGTCGACGCAGAGGAAACCGCTAGCACATTACCGGCGAGCGCCGCACTACACACACCGGCCTGCCCGCCATCGGGACGCGATTTGAGCAGAGTTCGCACCGGATCCTTTTCCTGACTCAAGAGACGTGCATCCCACACCTTCGTCTCTCCATTCCGTGCAATCGACACGAAGCCGTATGGTACGTCTGGAATTTCGAAAACAAATTTTATGTCAGAACCGTGATGCCGAACAGTGGTATCAAACTTCGCGTGGCGCCGAACGCCATCCGCCACCAGCTGCAGCGTTCCGTTGCGCATCCCTGCTACCGTGAAACCTAATGTGGACGTTCCCGCTGCTTGCACAGCCAACGCCGTCACATCGGTGGTAGAAAACGACGTAACCCGTGATTTGCTCCAGTCTCCGCTGTCCCGCTGCGCAAACTTAAAAATGCTCCGTCCCGCACCGAGCCAGAGGTCGGGCAACTCGCAAGTGGAGTTGTGTGCGCGTGTGCACCCACACGCGGCATCGGATAAACAAAGCGCAACTGTTTGCACGTGCTGCAGCGACGCTTGGGGAACAGCAGCATCACTCGATTGATCGCGGTTAATTGACAGCGACGCTATAGCCACGTGAGACACTCCGATTATGACTAAGTGAAATTGAACCGTGTGAAACGCATGTTCATCTTCTTTTCCTGGCAGGTATTGCATCTGCAAACACACTTGTGGAGGAAACGGTATCGTGGCAAAAAGGGTCTGCGAAAAAGCGGCCGTAGCTTCTGTGTAGCGCAGCATGTAGAGAGCGCCGTCCTGCCCGTCAAACTTCCACAAGAGACCCAAGTCGTCGTCATAACAGCAAACCTCATGTGAAAGCCGTGGAACCTCGGAAGAGCTCCACACATCGTGGCGGTATTCCTTAAGAGCAGGGGAATGCTTCAGCGTGAAACGCCATCGGCTTAACTGCATTATGCGTTGAAAGCGAGTGTCAACAAATGGATCAAACGTTTTCTGCGACTGAAGCGAGTGGCATTGTGGCTCTGTAAAGGGTGGGGACGACGGCGACGCGCTGATGTCCCGCACTTCTGCGAAGATAAAGAACCCGTTTTCAGTGGCGTCAGCCAAGGCGATCACTTCGTCTCGACGAGGACTGCTTGTTAGATCTGACACTCTGATAAGGCTGACCAAGTCTGGGGAGAGCGGTTTCCGCCTTCGACATGGAATGCGGCCGTCGCCGAACCACTTTTGAGGGCAACAAAGAGCCTGCAATACATGAACGTAGATCTCACGAAAAGGAATGTATATGCAACCTCTACGTACTTCAATGGAGTGTCCGTCCGGTAGCGTGTAGCGTCGTGCCTCGGAACGCGCGGAAGATGCCGTGCGCACAATGCCGCCCTGCTCTCTGCGCTCGCGTCGAAAATTTCGGTTAAGCTCTTCCTCTAAATCGCTATCAGAGGAGGATGAGAAATCCATTTGTCTTGCCAAATTTCAAGAGATCTTAGGCGATCATTTGCTGCATGACAGCACTACAGCTTCTCAAAACGGTTTTCTACCTGAAAGACAAGAAAGTGAAAGAGAAGGTAGAAGAAGCGGCGAAAGTGGAATTGCCCCCAAGGATTTACCAACATAAATGCCAAACGGGATGGAAAAACAAAAAGTGGCAGAGCTCCTAGTGTCGCTCGCAAAAAAAAAAGCACATGCATGTTACGAATTGTGAAAGTTCTCGCGGCGCAAACGTTGTTGAGAGAAAGCACATTAGTGTTTGTGTAAATGCGTTTTGTGTGTGTATTGTCTTTCCCATGATTTTATCTCTCAACATAATGGAACTTTAAAAATAAGGACATTTGGTGAAAGAAAAAGCACAAGACGAAAGGGAGTCATAGGTTCTTCAACGAGCCCTGAGCTTATATATCTTTTATTACGCTAAATGCCTTCCCTGCGTGCTCAGGCGATGATACTGGTGAGTCAAAATATGTCGCCTATGGTGCTCTTACAAGCACAAGAAAGCATCTTAATCTCGAGAGCATAAAGTCTCTCTTCAGACACCGATGCTTCGCAAAAACGCCTCGCTGTTCGGCTTGCGGCCCAAAAACCGCGCGAGCATGTCATTCGGATCCTGACTGCCACCGACACCGATGATGCAATCCACATAGCGATTGCCCAACTTAGGGTCAAGCAAGCCGTTGTGGGAGCGGATGTACTCAAAAACATCAAGGGCGAACACCTTCGACCACATGTATCCATAATAACCGGCGCCGTAACCGGTCAGATGTCCGAAAGCGCTCTCAAAGTGGGTGTCGTGCTCATAGTTCATGCCCGGCATCACACGCGGCTCAATGTCGTAGAACAGCTGCGTGGTATTCAGCTTCTCCTGTGGCTGCTCAGAGAACGGGAGGCCAAAAATGTGAAGAGAATACGTGGCAAATTGCAACTGGCGCAACATGTCACGACCGCTGAACGCATTCTTAGACGCCACCTTTGCGTCGATCAAGGAGCGCGGCAGTGGCTCTTTCGTCTTGTAGTGACTCGTGATCTTCTGCAGAATCTCAGGTTCCCACAGCCATTCCTCCAGCATCTGCGACGGCAACTCCACAAAGTCGCGCTTCACCCGTGTTCCGGCAAAAGTTGTCATGCGGGTGCGTCCCATCAACCCGTGAATGGCGTGGCCAAACTCATGGAAGAAAGTCTCTACGTCATCATGCAAGAAGAGCGCAGGACGCTCTGCCGTGGAAGCCGGAAAATTCGCGATCACCACCGCGAGAGCCGGCGAGAACTGCGAACCCTCAATTGGAAGCAGCACAGGAGGAACGACGGAGTGGCAGCACGCATGAGAATACTTGCCTTCACGAGGGAAGAGGTCCAGAATGATGTACCCCAGGACACAGCCGCTCTTGTTCTCCTTCACCTCTAGCGTCTTCGTGTCACTGTGCCATAGCTCCGACCCGTTGTCGATTTGACTGAACGTCACGTCGAAGAACGCCTGGTAAATGTCAAACAGCGCTTTAACCGTCACGTCCATCGGGAAGTACTCCTGGATCTCCGTCTCGCTCACGTTCAGCAGTGTCTTCTTGATCTGGTTGATCATGAAGGGGATGTCGTACGCCTCAATCTCGCCGTTCGCCGACAGCGAGCAGCTGGGGTGCAGGTGCTTCTTGATGAGCTCTGCCTCTGTCGCCCATTTCTTCTGCAGCTTCGGGATTAGCTCGTCCACGAACGTCTGCGCCGTCTCCGGTGTCTTCGCCATCTTGTCGGAGATGTACAGGTGCGCAAACGACGGGTACCCCAGCAGTATCGCAAGCTGGTGCCGCTTCTCGATGATCTCCTTCAGCGCCGCATCGTTCACCGGGTAGGCGCGGTTGTTGAACATGCGCGCCATCCCCTGACGCGTCGACGCAACCTCACAGTTCTTCATCACCCCAAAATACGTGGGATAGTCCATCTTCAGGATGTACTCACCCTCGCCGTTACGCTGCAGTGCCGATACAATGTTTTCCGGCACGCCCTTCAGCTCCTCCGGCTTAAAGTGCACCTCTGTCTTGTCCTCGCTGATGTTCTGCTGAAACTTTGTGCACAGCGCCGCAAGCTCCTTCTGGAGTTGGACCACCTTCTGGAACTCTTCCTCCGGCAGCTCCATACCCTTGCGGCGATAGTGAGCCAGCTGCTCCTCCATCCAGTACGTGTATTCCCGGGGAGCCTTTCCACTTCCGTACACCGCATTGTACGCAGGGGCGGCGCACACCTCCTTGAGCGCGGAGTAGAGGCGGCGGTTCGACTCGAAGCTGTCGATGGCGAAGCTCTCCAGCTCCACAACCTGCTTTGTCGCCTCATCGCGGAGTTCTTTGCTGGGAGAGACACTTGCAACAACGGAGAGCAGACTGGCAGAGACATCCAGCTCTGTTGCCGCAACGTCGAATGTTTTTGCTGTGTTGTCGTATGTACGATCTGCTGCGCTGATTTCGTAGATCTTGCTGAGCGATTGCTCAGTGCGCGCCTTCGCCGCCTTGACGAGCTCCTCACACGCCGCAATAGTCTTGGGAAACAACACGGCGCACTTGGATGCGGACGTCACATCAGCAAAAATGCGAGACATTGCTCTCAAACGAATGTAAAAACGGAAAAAGACAACGAAAAGAGAGCGGTAGATTTTAAAACAGTAATTGTTTCGGATAGAATAAAAACTGCACGAATGACTCAAAAGAATACAAATACGAGACGGGTTGCGGAGAGAAATATTTCGGTTTTAGGCGTTGAGCTCTGTCATATTCTGCATATGTGCTGACTTCATCGTTCTATCAAAACTTGTCAAACGTCGTTCTTACATGTTACCATCCAAGACGGTTGCATCCTTTCATTTCTAGCTGCTGCAATGCATATCAGCGTACAGAAGTCTCTTTCCAAAAGACCTGAGCTTGATTACAAGCACATACCGAGAAGACAACACTCTTTATTGATTATATCGATTTAAAACCGTCAAGTAACATGAGTAGTTTCCATGGAAACTCAAGCTTCGGAATTCAATCGCTGTTCCCAAAATGGTGGGCGCGCACTACTACACCTATGCAAATCCACAGAAAAAATGCGTTTCAAATAATTGCATTCTATCGCAATTAAAACTCTGAAGCTGCGCCTAGAGAGTAAAGAGTCAGCCAGAATTTCTTGATTCGCATGAAAGAAAAGCAGATTTTGAACGTATCAACACGCGTCAACAACAACAAAACGACTACTATGTAAATCACCCTCATATACCCATTTTCTCTCGCTGTAACCTACATGCTTTTGAAGATCTATAAACGGAAATATCAGGACAGAAAACGCCGAAGAAGGCAACGCTTTCGAATCACCTATAATCTTGCCAATTGCTTTTGAGTAATTATAACCTTGGCTAGACGTTTGGGACACATTCGGGTATGTATGTGCGGAGGATACAACTCCGCGGTTCACCGCTAATCAATACAGCCATCAAAGCAATTACAACTCCTCAATAATCCAGCTTCAAACAGCTCACAAATACATCAACATTCAATTTCACAGTGAAAAGAACTTGAAGTCCGATTCCACAACAACACGAAGAAAATGGTAGACCGCGCTGTTGACAGCTTTGGTGCTTAAACAGCGCGCGTACATTAACACAATCGCACAAAACCAACTGTTCGCATAACGATGCTCAGAAAAAGGAAATACTGTGAGTTAGCAAGTACAAAGAGTAGATTGACCGGGCCTGGAAATTAATTATTAAATCTTGCTTGACCCATTCTGACGAGAGACACCGACCCATAAAACTGCCCGTTTACGCCATCCTCACTAAATCAGTCACTATCACAAGATGTAGGGAACGTTCAGAGCGCACACAAAAGACACTCAGTCTCTTGTCGATCAGTCCATTGTCTTTTAAAGAAAAAAAAAACGTTCTTCAAACAGCAGATCACGCTCTGCCGCTTTGCTTTCGTGTGTGCGTGGTGTGGGTGTGGGTGTGACCTTCCAAATCTCATGCCGCGTCCAAAAACCCGACAGAAATGCGAAGCACTTTCGCGCTCCTTCCGCTGTGAATGTGTCGAAACATAGAAATAATAACAATTCAAAGCACAGTTTAGAGGACAAAGCACTGTTGGGTTCGATGATTCAGCAATTTGCGACTGTGTCCATGCAACAAGCAGGGCATTGCGTTTGAGGTTACAGTAAATCGGATTTCAACTATATCTTTTCCATCTTTAGATTGACCACTTCCCCGTTATTAAAGAAAACCTTGACAGGAAGTCATTATTCCGTAAGTGAGAGAAAAAAAAATCGATCCACCTCGTCAATGCAACCAAGACTGTCTTAAGGCTATCGAGGCAGTTGTTTACTATTGAGACAGGAGAAAAGAAACATCGCCGCCGATAATAGCTCACTCAACTAAGTCCACCCACAATTTCATCTACCAGTTTCAGTCAGGCAAGAAGAAGCACTAATGTGAAGCTCGTATGGGCAAAGCAAAAGCGCTGCGGTGTTTAAGACAGTGAGGAGACGAAACAAGCTCAAAAGCAGTTTTTGGTGCCTTGTTGAACACGAAACAAAAACATTCAGCCCCAAACTGAGCTTCTTGCCACTTCCCGATTTGCCTGTTCGGAGACTTCAAAACTGTGAATGGAAATTCAAGTGCTCACGCTTGCAAAGAAACAAGAGTTAGAACACTTCCGTCGGTCTCGATATTTGGTAACAGATTCTATAACCTCGCGATACTCGATCTGAATGCCAGTGTCCTACCGCTGGGTAAAGGACACAAGGAAATTTGCGCTAGATGTCGTGTACGGCGTAAATCTCAACCGCTCATCTAAATCGTGAAGGTCCTAGTTTTTAGAATGCGTATTTCAGAGTCAGGCTGGGAGACTTTCGAGCATTCTATGCCACCTGTCTCAAAATCGTTCTTCCCGTAAATACCAGAAAGCAGTACAGAACAAAAGCATTGCAGCTTTCCGATCGTGTTGCTGTAAGAGTTTTCTTTCTGGTCGGAATTTGTTTCACTAATCCGGACAAGACGAATGATCTCTTCTCTTCGATTTGAAAAGCTTCTTATGTCTTCTGTGTGATCAGTGAATGATAACTTTGTTTGTCCAGCCACTACTTGCAAGGCGTCTTTGATCGAAGCTCATTGGGAGCAACAGAGAAGGCACCAGCCGTCGGCACAGCAAAGCCGACTTCCCGACAACTCATTCGACGATACAATGATAATACCTGGCCGCAGAATTGGGAATCTCATCTGTTTTCCGCTGCTCTTTCCATCGACCGTTTGCATTTATCCTCTGGCTACATTTTTACATATTTTTTTGAAGCCTCAAAGCAAAACAAACTAGTAGAACCTTTTCCCTGTTTTCCACCGTTTGCTGGTTTTGTTTGTTATTGTTCGTGTTCTAGTAATAAACCTCTTGGCATTTCCATTTCCTCGGGAAAGTAAAACCGCAGCAGACAGCGGAGTATTTTTGTTTGTAGAGCACTCCGATTTCCCTTCAGATCAAGAGATTCGTAGTTTCATCGCCACCACAAGCACCTTGTGTGATAGAGCTTGGCCTCATTATACTGGTCGTTGTTAGAAAAAAAGGGCGTTACGTATGCGTCATTCATTGGTCATAAAGCCCACATGGTTTCCATGGGATTTGCATTTCAACCGAAAAGCATCAAATTAACAAAAAAGTGCTGGGTTTAAAGTTAGACTATCCAGCGTAGAGCAAATAGGCGCTTTTGGATGTGAAAAGCCGCAACTTGACCAAAGAAGCCGTTGACAACGCACTTTCTCTTGCGTTTCCCCATCCACACAGAGCATTTACTGGGATTAGGGGTTGCCCTCTTCCACACAAATCCCCCCCACCCCCTGTCTTGGCGCTGTTTCTCCGTGAGTCGGGAGGCGCCCCACTTTATAGACGACAGCGAAGTGGATGAGATCGAAGTAGATCTCGATTCTACAGGGGTCCAAACATCGCTTTCGTCTCTTGAGGGTCTGACGTAGCTCGACCCATGCAATGTAAAAACGTGGAATTGCTTCCTCAACACGGATGAGCCGATCGCCATCAAGATTTACCTGCGACGCGACCTTGAAAATGCGCTTCGAAGTTATCCAACCGCGAAACGCTGCCTCACAAACATTTGGGATACGGTTGTTCTCTGGGCATTGAAATGCCAGAGTTCTGCCGACGAGATGACGTGAAAGAGATCTCGTAATTTGGAGATCGGCCCAAACCTCATCCAGGCACTCCAAGACATGCTTGCCGAAACGTCGGGTGTGAATTCGGAGGAGATTCACAAAGCGCTCATTTCAGAGCAAAATCCTCACATGAAGAAGTTTGAAAAGCTTTGCGACGCGAAGAAGAAGCACAGCGACGTCAAGAAAAGTACTGCAACGCTTGCGGCAAGTACGGGCACTGGAGGTCTGAGTGCCTCAGCCTTCAATAATCCGGCTGTTACCGGCCGTCAACGAGCACGAGAAAGCGAATGAAGCACCTGCAAGAGTTCTCGCGGTTTAAGATGGAAATCATCAAAATCATCGAACGCGCGCCGCAGCATCAACATCGGAAGGAAAGTCGCTTAAGAGCGACACCCGTGGTGGCCACGATTTATGCGGGAGTCACCCCGAGAATGTGGCAGAACCGCAGACACATCTGACGCAGTTTGGTGCACGGCATTGCAGCAGCCAAGAAACACGCCAAGAAGACCGACCTCGACAGAACCTCGCCGACGAACATAGACTACCAGTCTGCAAATGCAATCACGCAAATGAAGGTCAGCAACAACACAAAGTCAACCGACGCAGTGACTGCATGAGCAATATTGAAGCTTCTGCAAACCGAAAACATCTCCGTGAAGATGATGTTGAAAACGTACTCTATCAACCGAACTTCACAGAAGCAAACCGCACCGGCAACACGGAGGGAGATAGGGCTTGTCATGGAAGCGCTGAAAGACAGGTCACGCGAGCACGCAGCGGTACTCCAGGCGTGCAAAACGGCAGGCCGTTGGGGAGCTATTCAAGGATTGACGGCGGAGAATTTATTGCTGGTGAACCTGCAGCACATTGTCATGCACTTCACAGCGGGAAAGACACCGTCACGAGATCCTTACAAAGCATATGCTCTAGTTGGGATCGAGGACGCGAACGATATGGGGCGAATCGCTCAAATTCTTAGCAGCCGGAAAGCGGACAACCCAGCATCAACGCAGCTTACAACAATGAATATGCATCAGATGATCTGCGAGCTGAAACAAGCAAACCCAGCGCTGATAGCACACTCAATCAAACGAGGCGCGTTGAATTTCCTCACAGCATGTGCCGCGCAGAATCAGCTCAAGAAAAAATGCATTCCACTGTTAGCAAAGCATGGCGATGGCAAAGCCACATTGCACAACACGATTCGCTATATCACCGAACACGTGCCGTTAGCGAAAATGATCGGAACCCAAAAGGCAACTCGACTCCTATGAGTTATGAAGATGGAGAAGAGTGAGACAACCTTCTCGATATCGCGAAACGCATAGCAGATCCCTTTTGGATGCAGCACCGATAAACACAAGAAAGAAAACTGTCTACTGGCGAAAGAAATGGACAGCGGCGAACCCGCAAGGCCAGCCACGGCACAACACCATCAAGACCAGCTTTATCAGCTTGCAGACAAATGCTATCGTCTCTGCACGGCAATGACGAATAGAAGAAGGTACCGCAGGTCGCGGCGGCTATCTCGGTCGAGGCGCATAGAATCTGAAGAAAACAGCCATCACGGAAGAAGGCTTCCAACATCCGTGGTGCGTCGGAAGTTGCGCCTCTCAACTTTCAGAGAATTAGATCACGCATGCGACCAGAGATCCCCCAGTGTGTGGACGATCTCCTTCACCTCCTTGGAGCAGACTGCTTTGCACACAGCCTAAGCACACAGAAAACATCAGTTTCTGATGTCAGGAAAAAGAGCAATGGCTATTTGGACGCACAAGGCTACCGCCCAGACGAGCCACTCCTACACGTTGCGATACATCTCGACGCAGTGAACGCCGAGATGGGTAGCGTACACGACCTGAGGGCTAGTTTCTTCCAGGTCGAGCTCCCAGAAAGAGACCAAGAAAGCTCCGTCTTACCAGATCCGAATAGCGGTACACAGTGGTGCTTGACGCGGCCTCCGATGGGACACTTGGCCTCACCGGAAATCGTGCAAATTCTCACGTCCACCGTGGCAGGCAGTCTGAAGTGTACGGGCAAAGGGTTCATCGTGAACGACCCAGCCCAAACCTCAATCGACGTGTAGATCGACAACATACGGTACGCAGGCACGCGTCAAGCAGTCCAAACGGTGTTCAGGAGGATGTTGACCACCGCAAAAGAGTGTCCAGTTTCTCTTTACGCGAATGAGAGGTACACGGGAGAAGTCTCAGACTTCATAAGGGGTATATTTCAACCACGCAGTTCACAAAGTGGGTGTGGCAGATCACACGATCCAGATGTTTGGTGGTCCGACGCCAAGCGTGGCGTGCGGCGACTTGGAGCGACTGTGCGCACAAATCCTCCGCAGATCGTCATTCCTACATATCTGCATCGCAGAGTTCTGTTGGGCGCTGAAGCCCATTAGACGAAGGCTGTCTCCGCTCAGCCGGACACCTCTCCTGGTGAAGGAGCCGGCCTGCACACGCCCAACGGCGCATGCAAAACTTAAATAGTGGTACGACCTGGCTCAGAAGAACCGCCCACGAGAGATAGCGCCGGCCATGGCAACGAGAATGCCATTGATGACCCTCTACACCGATGCCTCTGGAGCCGGTTGGGGAGCGGTGTTGATGCGGGACGAGCCCCAAGAAATCATGAGCGTTGGTGAAACATGGTCCGCAGCAGAGTAGCGCCACATAAACACGCTGGAAGCGGACACCGTGGTTCTGGCGGTGGAATGCTTGCGGCGATGGATTCCTGCAGGGTCGAGCCTTCGTGTGAAGATCGACGACACGATGGCCTTAGCCACTCTCAAGAAAAGATCCGGGTCGACAAAGGCGCTCAATGACATTGCACTTCGCATGGAGAAGCTTTCGCAGAAACTTACTTTTTTCTTTCTTTTCGGTTCGCCTGTCTAGCTTGCATCCGTTGTCTGCCCTCATCGGCATTAATCAGAATCGGAAAAAGTTCTGTATACTCTCTTTTCTTTGGCGCTTGCCTAGCTCGGTGCACCTGGCAAGACCATGATGCGTATATACCGTTTAGTATTGGCTTGCTCTTGGTAAACGTGATTTTCTCATCTTTCTTTTACCGCTGTCACTATTAGTTGACAAGGGTGTGCTTCTTCTCCTGAACCTTCTTTTCTTTTTCCACCGTTCTTCTGTTTCTTTTGTAAAAGCGGCGTGCGGGATGCCTTGCGGATCCCTTGTCACAGCATTCGCTCAGTAAAGTGTGTGGTCTTCCGTCATAGGTTTTCTTTTGTGTCTTGGTGAAGTGTGCATGTGGTGCTCTTTTTATCTCCGTTGTTTCCTCGCATGTCTATCTGGCACATATTAGCTTTGAAAGACCTCCTCCGCAGAAGTCGTGTCCGGTGGCGTGGGCGCGTCTTCGTGCGTGTGTGCGCGCTGTTGCCCTCCCCCGCCCGGCCGCGGCGCCCCCCGGGTGGGTGTGTGTTTTTGGGCCGTTTTGCCTGGCGTTCCTCTGCGGGGGGCGGCGCGACCAGAAGACAGAGGGGCGGAATGACAAGGAGGGAGGGAAAGAAGGCGTTCAAAGAGGACCATAAGAGAGGCGGCGGCAACGCCGTACAAGCCCAACGCAAGAATGCATGCCGGACCACTTCTTTCGATCTCTGTCAAAAACCAGCAATAGAGACTGCAACGCAGCGATGGCTGCCAGTGGGGACGGTTTCTTTTGTGGTTCATTCTCTTTACTTTCACAGGTGGTACGAATTATGGACAAGCCAAACCAACAAGCAAGGTGTTCATGAGCATCACCACAAACTTACGCGCGCTGCGGAGGCACAGGGTACTCGAGAAGAAGAGAGATCTCGGCCGGGGCAATGCGGCCGAACTGAGTATCGCGCTGCACCTCGTTGGCGTTCACAGCATCCGCCGCCATCGCTGCCGGAGGGCGTGCGACGGGCTGCTGCGTCGCTTGTTCGCGCAAGCGCACCGATCGGACGTAGATGACCTCTTCAATGGTGCGGGGCGCGTAAAGGTGATGAACGTATACCTGTTTTAGTTGACCAAAGCGGTGGACGCGGCCGACGGCTTGCTGCTCCATGGCTGGGTTCAGGTTGGGCTCCAGAAAGATGACGTGGTTCGCGAAGGTCAGGTTGAGACCGGCGTTGGCGCTGCGTGACGTGACGAAAAGAATGCGATGCGGCACAGGCAATGCACCGCCGGGCTGCTGCAGCGCGCGCATTACGCGCTGCCGCTGCGCGAGTGTCGACGCTCCTCGCACTATGTACGGCGCGTACCCGGCCGCCTGGATGGTGTCGTGCGCCAACTGCAGAAACGCAGGGTACTTGGAGAAGACGAGTATGCCATCGCCCGGCTCGGCGGCCCAAATCTGCGCCACGAGGGCGACAAAGGCACACACGCGGCTTCCATCGCCGATGCGGATCAACGCAGCTTCGCCGTCGTCCGTGTCGAGCACGCCGGACGGCGCGTCATCAGCCTCGGGTGCAGTTTGCGCCGTGGCTTCTTCGTTTATCGCCGCCTCGTGTCCGATCGTGATCACACGCTTCTCCACCAGCAACGATTTCGGATCGCGGCAATAGGGACACTTTGCGATTACGTTGCCGGCAAAGCTGCGGCTGGCGTCAATCACACCAATCACACATTCTTTGCAGTACATGTGGAAGCAGCTGAGCAGGGTAGGGGCGACCATGTCGTCCAAGCAAACACCGCACAGCGGCAGCAACGGAGGATCGGCCTGCAGGTCGTTCAACGCGGCAACAGTTTCCTCTGGGATTTTCTGCGCGCTGCGGCCTCTGCCGCTGTTGGTTGCAGTGGCGATCTGCACGGTGAAGGAAATGTGCGCGCGCTTCGTGTTGTTGGCGGCCAGCATCTGCGCCCACTCCAGCGCCTCTTGCGCCGTCACTTCGACAAAGGAGGCCTCCTCGACGGCGGCTGCGAGGTTTGCTGGGCTCGGGCTGCTGTCGTTTCCGACAAACCGCACCGCGCGCAGGAGGTGGGCCTCGATGTCGCCACGGAGCAGCGCCGCATCGCCCACGCGGGACGGGTGCAGGCACAGCCGGCACAGCGCCTGTGCCCATTGCATGGCATGGCCCATGCGAGAGCTCAGCACGCCTTGGCGATGGAGCCGGGCGGCAACCTGCATGACCGCCCGCGCAACGCGGTCGTACAGCTGCATCTCGTCCCCACTCAAGTCCACGCGATGGGTTGTGTAGCGCACCGGCGGAAGCTGCAGCTCGCGACTCACCTGTTGACTGCGTTCGTGGCGCACCATCGTCAGCGCAAAAATCTCCATCAGTACGTTGGGCAGGCAGGGCAAATCGCACAGGAATTGGCGCTGCTCCTCGCGGCGGCGCCACTCCAGCGGAATGGTGGCGCCCACACCTGCGGCAGCGCCGTACGCGCCGTCCTGCGTGCAAAGCGAACACAAGCAGAAGGAAGGATCCTGAAATTCCTCGTTGGGGTAAACGGGAACGCAAAGCCGCGCCATCAGGCGTTTCAACGCCGTGCATACGGTTCGGCTGAAGTGCATGCGATTAAAGAATTGGGAGTTGCTGGTGTGTCTGCTCAACCACGTGTTGAACACGTACATCCGGTGGTGTGGAGTCCTGGAAAGAAGCTGCGCCGCGCTGCTCATGCCGAGGAAAGAGAGGGCGGTGCTAAGCGCTGTGGTCTTGTTGTTGTTCAGCGGCGTCCCGGTCACCGCCCAGCGGCGCTCGCCCAACAACAAGTGAAAAAGACTGTTTGCGCCGCACTTCTGCGACTCGTCCAGCACCACACGGTGAAACAGAAGGTCCAAGATGCGCAGCGGCATCTGCCCAGTGAGCTCGGCGGACGCAACGGCTGCGTAGTGCGGCTTCATCTCGGCCCAGTACATCTGAAGTGGTTGCCACAGCGGCGGCAAGAGGACGTGGAGGACGAATAACCGCCGGATGTGATCTGACATCGGGTACCGCGTCTCGGTGCGGAAAATCAGAGCAAATAGAGATTCCGTGTAGCTACTTCCCACAGCCGCATCAAACAGACCAGTGTGCATCGAGTAGGAGGACGTCTCTGGAGGGGCTTGGATGGAGGCGGAATAACCCTTCACAAGCGCCCACAGGCCGTCCAAAAACGAGTCGCTCACTGGGCTCGGCGCGTCAATGCAGAGACGATGGTAGAGGGCCTGCCACGCTGGCTGGTACTCGACGGCGTTGTTCGTGGGGTCGCCGTTGGCGTTCACATAGAGCGAGAAGACGGGGCAGTGAAAGCAAGGCAAGCCCACGGGCTCTTGAAACACAAACACCCACTTGTTCAACTGCGGCGGCGGTGGCGGCGAAGCAACGCCGTCGTGGTTGTCGCCCGCGTTCTCACTACGGCCGCGCCCACGCCGGCCACCACCACTACGTGTCCGACCGCGTCCACGTTGATGCTGCACAGCGGCCTCCACGTCTGCCGTGTTGTGCACGTCCAGCACAAACCCGCGACTGCGGTTGAAATTGAGAAAGCGAGAGTCACCCGCGTCCGGCAGCGGCGACCACACGGTGGACGACGCGAATGCCTGTAGTGCTGCGTAAAGGTGCGACGGTCGGCACGCCTGCCACCCTCGCGAGGCTGCCTCGGCGCACGCCTTGTCGTCCCCCACATCCGCGCTGCGTGACAGCCAGTAGTGCAGTCCGTCGGTTTCGTGTCGCAGGTGGGTGGACAGTGTCTCATAGGTCGTGAGTACGAAGTCTGCTCGCTGTAAGTCCTGCGCGGTGTACTGTGTGCGCTTTGCGCCGTGGAAGAGGATGTACGACGCGCCTGGGTAGAACTTGTGGAGCTCCTCGATCCACTGAGCCGCGATGGAGAGCGGGACGACGACCAGCGTTGTCCGCGGCAGGCGCATTGGGCAGACGGTGTGCGGCGCGGTGCCAGCGAGGAAGGTGTCTGGACCGAAGCCCCACCGCAGAACGTCGGGGTTAAAAACGATGGACGTGGTGCGGGCGACGGTGTTGCGGGCCGTTGCCTGCCAGAAGCGGTTGGGCGAGGACATCGCGTTGTCTTCGTCATCGTCGACGGCACCTGACTCACGCGAGGCGCGGTCGTAGGCGCACAGCGTCAGCACCGCGAGCGTTTTGCCCAGCCCGACGTCGTCACACAGGAGGCCACCGCGGATCAAGTTCCCTGCGGCGCTCCACTTCGCCGTCTGCGTTGCTGCACCGCGTTCCACGATGACCTCCTCCGTCGTCGCGCAGTAAAACATCATTCCGGTACGCTGCACGACCGGCCGCTGTGCTGCGGTGGTGCTGGGGACTACACAGTAGAGCGGCACCTGGACATGCTCGCGGTAACCCTCCGTCTCCTTACTCCACATCCACTGCACGTCCTCCAGTTGGTGCCGCTTCAGCGCCGCGTGGATGTACGTGCGGGGAACAGCGGCGACAGGGAGCGCCTCCGCGGAGTCGGCGGTCACGCGTGCCACGTAGTTCATCGTCTGCTCGGCGCTCATCTGCCCTACCAGGTCCAACGTGGCGTGGAAGCGCGCGAAGGAGCCGGCGGCGTAGTACGAGACGTTGCTGCCCATCTGTTCCGTACCGCCCGTGTCATTGCTGTCGGTTTCTACCTTCGCTAAGGCCTTTTCTTCTTCCTTATCCTCCGCGACCGCGTCCACGTCGACGGGGACCTGGGAGTTGCACAAGACTGCCTCCGCAGCTTCTTTGCTCTCGTCCACCAACAGGTACTGCTCCTCGCGACAGCGCCGCAGTGCGGCAACGTACGGGAGGTGCTCCTCCACCATCAGGAAGGACGGGCTGAGGGACGCCGCTTTGGAGTTGCACAGGCAAGGCGGGACGCGGTCGTCGTTGCCCACGCCGTGCAGTATGCCCTCGGCGATGTGCTGAAAGACCTTCAAGAGGGAAAAAAGGTGGGGGAAGTAGACGAGCTCGGACCCGACAAGCATGCCGGCCGCTGCCTGGCCGCGAAAGTAAGACGAGGGCGTGTTCAGCGCTACTTTGAAGAAGCCGCCTCTGCCCAGCACATCCGCCCGCGTGTAGGCGTACACAGCCCGGATGCGGGCTTGAAGATCACCGCAGCTAAGGTGCGGTTGACCTGGCACGACGGTGTCCGGAAATATTTTGTGGAAGACATCCTCTGCCCACGTCACGCCGTCGGCTTTGTTCGCAAGAAGTGCAAGCGTTTTCTTTTGCAATTCGGGTGGATTCGTCGGCTTGCGCCATAACGACTGCGCCGCGGAGTTCTCGTACCCGCCAACGCGCTGCTCGTTGTACCTCCTCTCCCACGTCGCGGTGTATTCCTCGTACCCTCGATAGTACTGTTTTGCGGCCTCGGCAATTGCCGGGAAATCGTGCATCTGAAAAGGGACGAGACTGTACTGGAGGGTGCAGTTGCGCACCGACCCCTGGAGGTGGACCCGCCCAGCGAGCAGCAGTTGCAGGTTCACGTGCGCCTCGCCGTACGGGCAGCAACGCAGCGGCTCGACCGGCACGCCGCTGTCGTCGCGGCAACCGTCAAGCAACCCAAGCACTTCACAGGCCTTTGCTTGATCCATGCGGAGAACATCTTCCCGCTTTACGCGTTGCGAGAGCACTAGGAATTCGATCACCTTCGAGACAGTATCTGTGACAATTCCAATCGACCGGCAGGAGGGACAAGCCAGGAGGAGCAGGGTGACGAAGGAGCCGGGGGTGTCCAGCATGGAGAGCAAGAGGCCCAGCAGCGCCATCGCACGCTGGGCAGGATCATCACCGTAGCCGTTGCCGCCACCCTCCCGCACAGCACGGGCTACACGTGCACACTCGTTTACAATGAAGTACTGCACACAGGGGAGGGCCAGGAAGCCCTGTGCGTCGTCGACCTCCACGTCGTGACTGGCGCTGTCTTCCACCGCCTCGTCGGCTTCGTCTGCGTGCGCCGGTGCTGTTCGATCCTCAAGTTCACCTACTGCCGATGACGGTGGCTGCTGCACCGCAGCTGCACCCACGGCCGCTTCAATAGAGGCGGCGTACGCGTTCATGGCATCCGTTCGCTGGGCCGCTGAGGTCACCGTGGTTAGTCGGATCACTCGCTGCGACCGCTTCAAGGAGTAGAGGACGAGAGCGTTGCGCACGTGTGCCAGGAGGGCTTGCTCCAGCATCGGAGCCGCTGCAGGACCGTCCAGTGCGGGTGAAGAGGCTGTAGAAGCACCGTTGGCCTTCGATCCGGTTTTCTTCGCTGCGCTGACCGGTGGGGAGGGTTTCAGCTCTCCCCCAAGCGTCATGTCAGGCGCAGCAGCGGCGGCGCTGTCTTCTTTGCGCGCCTTTGCACGACCGCCTTTGACCGCCTTTTCAGGAGGGTCCACCACGTCGCCCGTCAGCGTTGTCTGGCGGCTGCGGCGGGGTGCACGACGGGACTGGGCGGCGGCGGTGTTGGTGGTAGCGGTCTCCGACGCAGTGCGAGAGTCGTCGTCCTCATCTATGGTGATGACGGTTGGCGTCTCAGAGGTCACGGAGGCGACGCTGCGGTCCACCTCCACCTCATCGCGGTTCGCCGCCGCCTCGATGCTCGTGCGAGCGCGCTTACGTGCAGGGCCGGCGGCTGCCGTCGACGGTGCCATCGTGGAGGGATCGGGGGAAGGAAGAGTGACGGCGTCGTCGGCGGGCTTCGTCACCGCCGCTGCCTTTGCAGGTGCCCTTTTCGTCCCCTTCGGCGGCATCTCCCGGCGTTACCAACAGAAAGAGGGCTCGGAAAAAAAAAAAGGCTGGGTGGGACGTATCCGTGTTTGGAAGAGTACTTCGCAAACACACACACACACAGCAAGGAGCGTGGAGAAAAGCAAAAACAAGGTGTAAAAAGACGGCGAAGAAAGGCGGCAAGTTATAACGTGAAGGCTCCCCTTTTCAGGTGCGCGCTAGCGAGCGGAGGCAACGCGCACAAAAATTGGGGCGACGTTGTGAAGGATCCGTTGCGGGTGCGATGAAAAGCGTAGCAGCAAACACACAAACACACCTACGCACTCGAATTCCCGTTGGGGGAAATGGAAAACAAAACAAAGCAAAAGCAGCTCCAAAACCTGCGGGAGTGAGCAAGGAGAAGTCGGTAGATGACAAGGGAAACCAACGACGGCATTCAATGCCTTTACTTTGGCGCACGTGAAGTCACACATGAACTCCCACCAAAACAATAGTACTGCGAGAGCGCTCTCACGCTGTTTAACTACGTCTTCCATAGCTTAACGTACTCCATCGACAACGCATCCATTTGAAGGGCAGGGAGCGAGGGTGACGCAGCTCGATCTGTTTACATGGATTTTATTGTACGATTCGGTCGGATAATAGTAATAGTAAGAATAGAAAAGATGTCTCGAAAGCACACGTGTCTAAAAGAGCACAACAGCACAACACACTTTTTGATGGTTGGCAGAATAATAGGAAACCTATGTTTCACGGGTTAAACATGAGGAGCAATAGAACAATGCGAAGAGGAGTGCGAGTTTTTGATAACACACACACACCCACACTCACACACACACTCGTCGAATATCGCGGAGGCCTAAGTGAATTCGGGAGGGCATTACTCTTCAGGAGAGGGGTGGGGATGGATAGGGATAAAGAGAGAAAAAAAATAAAACGACGAGCCGCACAGGTCACGGATGATTACCCCGGAAAAGGAGAAAAGAGACATGACTGCCAGGTTTTGTGTTTTGTAATAGAATTGATCGCAGGCGAACGAAAGATGTTTTCATGCGTAGCGAGGAGGGAAGTAACCGCCGCGCGTGCGCAGCGTCCCCTTTTGAAAGTTAGTAAGCAATTCAAGCAGGTGAGAAAAAAAAAGAAAAAATATATCTCCATGTGGTCAACGAGAGCTACACGTTTCAGACACTTCATATGAGACAGTTGGCGTCACCCCCATCCCAGCCGCCTCCACAGTCATCGCCTCCGTCCAACCCCCATCCCCAGCCGGAGCAGTTCGCGTAAGACGCGTCAAAGAGAAGGAAAGGAAAAAACCCACCCGAGTCGAGATCTCTGCGCCGTTCGTCGCGGGTGGAGTCGGCCCCCTCGTCTGACCGCCGCAAGCGACGCGAGGACGCACTGTCCTTCTTCGCTTTCCACCGCGCCGTCGGCGTCCACTTGCTGCTCCCGTCTTGGCGGGGGAGCGGCTTGTGTGCCACCGTGCGGACGGAGGCGTCGGACACGACGGATGGCGCCGTGCTGCGATGGTCGTAGCCACCGACGGTGTCGTCGCTGAGGGCTACTCCCACCTGCGAGGCAGCCACCGGTGAAACGTCTTCCTTACCAAGATGTGAGGAGAGGGCGCTTTCTGGAGTAAGACTGGACGGGGGTTGGGCGGTGTGCTGCGTCTTGGCGTACCGCATCGCCGCCTTGCGCTGCGCCAGCTGCCGCTTGTAGTCGTTGCTGAAGTAGTTGCCTTTCTGCTCTCGCGCCGCCGTCTCGTCCTTGGCAAGTGTGGGTAGGTCATCGAGGCCGGAAGAGGGGGGCCGACGGTGGTGGTGGTGGTGCGTGGAGCCGCCCCACGATTCGGTGCATTCGCTCGACGGTGCGTCTTTGCCTGCGATGGTCGACGGCTGAGTAGAACACGGCGAAGCGAGGTAGAGCGGCGTGGAGGAGTTGCTGTGCGGCGGCTCGTTCCGTGCCGGTCGTGAACTGCGTGTGCCCATTTGTATCGTTTTTCCTTTTCCAACTATTTGCTCCTAGGAAAACGGAATGCGAAAGTGTGATGAATGCACACGACGGCAAACATCAAACGGCAGACCAAAAGCGGCGGTGAGGAAAGACACGGGGATGAAAAGAAAATGAAAAAAAAAAAGAGAGGGATATATGAGGAAGGGAGGGGGGGGGGAGAAAGCGCACGGACCTGTGAAGGTATATGTGATGAAATCCGCTAATGATCGACCGTACATGCCATGCCGGGTGCTGCACTCGATTCTATTCATTGGCAACGGCGCTGAAAGCTGGAGATGAAAGCTGCCGTCGTATTTCGTTCTAATCATTTTCTTTTTCTTATCTCTTCTTTGGAGAGGTGTTTTCACGCGCGTGCAGAAGACTGCTTGTTTGACGAATATGGGAAAGGAAGCAACCGCAGTGCTGATATTGACGAAGACACGGTTGGCAAAGAAGAAGAAAAAGAACAAAAAAAACACAGAAGTATACTGCGCTAAACAGAAAGAACGTGACGAGAGAATTGTTTAGTAAGAAGAAACGGCAGCGATTCACAGGGGGAAAAAAGGCGCTAGAAATGCTGCACAAGATGAATCGTTCAGCAAAGACGACATCAACGTAGATCATGTCGGTTCACGAAGGTGAGATGAAAAACAGAATCAGCCCTGGTACAACCATCGCCGGTAAAATATGAGCACCAGCGCTGACAAGGTGGTAGGCGAGCACGAGGAAGAAAGCAGAAAACAAAAGGCACACGAAATGAAAAAAGAAATGCCTATTTCGATTGGCAAAGGGTGTGTAAAGAAGAAAGACAGAAGGAGGGAGATAACGAGAAAAAGGCTGCGGCGCTTCGGTATAATGCGTGGTACGTTTGCCACATCGAGAGAGACAAGGAGCAGCAAACAAATCATTGAAGCGTCACACCCACACACAGAAAAACAGCTAAGAAGCAACAAAAAGCGTTGAATGATAATGAGAAAGAAAAAGCGCAAACCGCTATCAGGGGCTTTGGACGTGGTGCGCGACGACGTGTGCTTGTGTGTGTGTGGCGCTTATCAAGAGAAAAAATCGTGGTTACACGCTGTGCATCTCCCTTTTCTCTTTCCCTCCCGCCCCCCAACACACACAAGGTTGCACGAGCATCGTCGACAGCGCAATCCAAGCAAATAATAATAATAACAAAAAAGACTTAAAAAATGGTAAAAATGAAGGACCAGTAAAACGAGACCGTTATAAAGATGCATGATGCCAGAGTATCGACGAAAAGTTGGCTGCACCTCCCCCTTCCTCCCCCCAACACAAAGAGGGAGACACCTAATAAACACACACACAAACAAACTGCAAGGCACAAGGGAACGTACAACATCGTCAGAATAGTCTAAGGGAGATAATTGTATAGGCATGTACTCAGGCTTTTCTTTAGTAGGCCACCTTTGGGAAACCGTGGCGCTCCTGGTAAGGCACGTAAGGCCGCTTCGGGAAGAAGCGCTTGCCTTCCGCCGCCATCTTCCGCAGCGTCGCGGTGGGTGCAAAGTAGTCTTTCTTTGTCTTGCGCTGCAGCTGTTCCAGCGCGGCCACGACGTTGGCAAGACCGCGGTGGTCGGCGTACTGCATTAGCCCTCCTCGATAGGCGGGGAACCCCGTGCCCCAGACCATGCCGGTGTCCACGTCCTCGGGCGACAGCGCAATGCCCTCGTGCAGCACGTGCGTCGCCTCGTTTACCATCAGCAAGACGCAGCGGTCCACAATCTCCGTCTCGCCGATGGTGGCCTTGAGATCGCCGCCGAGGTACGTAGTCAAAGCGCTTCTGTTCATCCCCGTCTCCTTGCCCTTCTCATCGTAGTTGTAGAAGCCTTTGCCGTTCTTACGGCCGAGGTAGCCGTCCTTCACCATGTGCGACACCGCCGGGGTCACCTCGAAGCGGTTGCTCTTCAGGCCCTGCGAGAGCACTGGTCCGACGTGGCACGAGACGTCCAGACCGACTTCATCGAGCAGCCGGAACGGACCCATCGGCATCCCAAAAGCCACGAGCGCCGCGTCTACCCTTGAGGGGTGACAGTGCTCCTCGGCTGCCAGACGCCCCGCCTCGGCCATGTACGCGCCGAGGATGCGGTTGACCAAGAAGCCGGGGCCGTCGTTGACGATGATGGGCGTCTTGCCGGTCTTGAGCGCCAGATTATATATGGTCGCCGCGGCTTCCGCTGACGTCGCCTTGCCTTTAATCACCTCCACCAACGGCATCTTTGCGACAGGGTTGAAAAAGTGCATGCCGACGATGTTCTGCGGGTAGCGGGCAGCCGCCTGCATCTCCGTCAGGCTGAGCGACGACGTGTTGGTGGCGAAGAGGTTCTTCTCGTTGAGGATGCCGTCCTTCTCAAGCTGCTCGATCACCTTCTTCTTGATGCTCATCACCTCCACCGCCGCCTCCACGATCACGTCCACGTTGCGGAAGACCTCATCCGTGGTGCCGCCCGTGACAAGGGTCATCTTCTTCTCGAGCCCGTTTACGTCCATTCGTTTGCGCTTCACCGCGCCTTCGAACTCGGCCCGCACACGCCCGATTCCCTTCGCCACCGCCTCCTCGCTGAGATCCTTCACCGCAACGGGGATGTCCTTGTTAGCGAAGTAGTGCACGATGCCGGCGCCCATCACGCCAGCACCGATGACGCCGACGCGGCGGACCTCTTTGATTTTGTCCTTCGGCACGCCTGTCTTCTCCACGTTCTTCATGCCCTCCTGAAGAAAGTACAGCGCCATCTGGTTCTTCGCCTCTGGACTGCAGAGAAGCTCCGCCAAGCTGCGGCACTCCTTGTCAAAGCTCTGCGCGTTGCTGTGCGTGGCGGAGTACATGATGCACTCGAGCGCCTTGTACGGCGCAATGAACTTGCCCTTCGTCTTCTTGTTCAACATCTTGATTGTCTGGTTGGCTACCATGCGCCGCCCAAAGAAGGTGCCCTCCATCACGCGGTCGATCAGGCTGATGTGCTTGCGCTTCGTGGGCTTGGCGGGTTTGTCCGAGAGGTTCTGTCCCGCCCACTTGCGCACGCCCTCGTAGAAGCGGTGCTCACCCTTCCACCGGTCCTCGGAGGGGATGACGACATCGCAGGCGCCGGCGGCCTTCGCCTCGCCTGCCTTGACCTGCTTCGACGTCATGATCCACTGCACCGTCTTCGTTAGTCCGCACAGTCGGTGCGTACGCACGGTGCCCCCAGCGCCCGGGAGAAGACCCAACATGCACTCCGGGAAGCTAACCTTCGCACCGGAGGCCATCAGGCGCTGATGGCAGGCCAAGGCGAGCTCAAAGCCACCGCCGAGGGCGAGTCCGTTAATGGCCGCCACAACAGGGAACGGCTCGCCTTCAATCCGATTGAAAAGGGTTTGCCCGGACTTGATCACCGCCTCCGCCACGGTGGGGTCCGTCACCGGGTACATCTGATCAATATCCGCGCCGACGCAGAAGGTGGACTTGGCGCTGGCGAGGATGGCGAATTGGGCCTCATTCTTCGCCACGAGGGACTCGACGATGTCCAGGGCTGTGTTCAGGTCCTTCATAAACTCCTCCCCGAGGGCGTTGGCGCTTGACTCGGCCCGGTTCATGACGATCCACGCAATGCGTCCCGAGTCCACGTAGACGGTGATGTGGCGACCGGCCTGGTGCGTCTTCCAGAGACGGTCTTCGAGGATGTCACGCGGGAAGTCGTAGGCGATTACCGTCGGTTTTGCCGTCGCGCGAGGAGGCGAGGCGGTGGTAGGTGCGGTGGCGGCCGTGGTAGCACCAGGCTGCGTGGTCTGTGATGCCCGCGCAGTCAGGGCGGCTACACTCGCAACGAAAGAGCGGGGGACGAGGAAGCGACGCATGTTTTGTTCTTCTTATACTTCTTGTGTGTTGTAGCGGGGAAACGTGGTCTGGCGGGAGGGGTACTCGAAAAGGCAGGATAGAAGGGGTAGTGGCAGTCTGCACGTTGAGAGAAGGAAGTAGTATCCAGAGCGAAGAGAACGATTCGCTTGGCTGTCCGTCAGAAAACAGGAAGGGAGGAGGGAGAGGGAGAGGCTTTGCACGTCTGGGAACGCTCCGGCAGATGGCGCTACGAAGAAAGGAGGAAGAAAAGAAATGTGTGTATAGGTATGTGTTGGCGAAGTAGAATCTCACTGCGGATGAAGAAGCATTGTAGCCCCTCCAAAAAAAAAGAAGAGGAGAGAAGGGGCGAGAGAGAAAACAAAGAGGTCCATTGTTGCGGATGTGAGGGAGGTTCCTCGGCACAGGAAAGGGGCGTATGTGTGTTTCATCAACTTTCTACTTTTCAGCAACTTCGAGCAGAACGGCCGGTGTGAACTTCAAGAGATCTGACCGATGAAACACAAGATAAAGCTTGCGTGTGATGAGCTGCCATGCAACATCGCATTTTCGTATTTTTCACGTTGGGCATTCTTCTCCTCTCTGTGTGTGTGATGCCTATCAAAGAAAAAATATCCTTATGCGAAACCAAACAATGAGGCAAAGAGAAGCCACGATGCGTCCGCGTAGACACGCCGTGTGGCAAATCCGCAGCACCGGCGAGCTAGCTCGTCTGTTAGCTCGAGACCGCAACGTGAAGATTTCCTCCATCGCTAATAACTGCTTTAAAGTACAGCGACAACATCATGAATACTCTCCCTTTTGATGTTTCACAGAACTTACGGAAGCAGCGCAACGCTAAATTCATTACCACTTGCCTTTGGATGTGTGAGGGAAGGCAACATCAATAACAGAGGAGCTTCACCGACCATGCGTGGAAGAACACAGCGCCCAATTCAAGCGTACACGGTGCCGGTTGTCTCCTTCAACTTCGCTTGCATGGCTCTCTGCCATTCTCCAAACGCACCCTCGCGCACGACGCGGCCCAGTCGAGGATGTTGGTCTACCACGCGTGAGACGCCGTACATCTCCACATCCGCCAGGTCGGGGTTCGCACCACCGTGGAAGACCGCACGTGCGGGACGACGCGCCAGAAAGATCTCCAGCTCCGCCCTCAGCCATTCTTCCGCCGTGCCTTTGCGCATGGTGGCCGCCAGCGCCTTCTTCGTCTCCTCCGGCAGCATCCACAACCCCGTCGACTCGCTCAGGTTCGAAGCATCCGGAATGGGCTGCGTGTCCGCCGCCGGCTCCTCCATCTTGGCGATCAGCCGCGGTTGAATCTTCACCCGTGACAGCATCGACAGCGCACCACTGCCGATGACGTGATAGAAAAAGTTTTGATACTTGCTTGGGGTAACGTAGGTGTAGGTGGCGTACGAGTTGCGGAAGGTGCTGTTCGTAATGGCGAAGGAGGCGCCGTGGAAGTGGTTCGTGATCCAGTCACGTGTCTCGCCCGTGTGTGGGTTGGCGAGATCGGCGGTGTAGCCGAGCGGCTTCGCCAAGGCGGTCGCGATGGCCGCCGAGTCCACCACGAAGGCACCCGATTTGTTCTGCTGCTTCTTCACCGCCGCCTCCGTCTCCAACGCCGGAGGCACTGAGGGGGTGGCGAGGGGCGTGAAGTACAGCTGCGGAGCGAGTGGGTAGCGCCGGTCAGGCAGCCCGTCGCCGGTGATCGGGTCGATCCAGACCTCCTCGTACGGGACGTCGCTAAACTGAAGCACAGACTCCACCTTGGCACAGTACGGACACCCGAGGAGACGGTAAAAGATCAGTTTCACGTCGGAGGGCGAGGGGGTGTACGAGGCGGCTTCTCCGACCTCTGACAACGGCGATGTTCGCCTCGTGAGGGTGTCTTTGAGGTCGGCGTAGTTGCTTTTCATGTGGTGGTAGGTCCATGGGAGGTGCTGCGCGCTGAGTGCGTCCTTTAGAAAATCAGCATCCTGCAAACCGTTGAATTCCTTTGCGCTCAGTTCTTTCGGTTTGTTGGCCGCACCGCTCGTTGATTTGTTAGCTCGTTGGTAGTAGAGAAGACCAGCCGCACCACCACCGACAACGATGGCAGACGCTGCTGCGAACTTCGTCAGAACACGCATGGCGCTTCGACAAGGAACAACGGAAGGGAAAAAAAGAGAAAACAAAGAAGAAGAGCAAGGCCAGACCAAAAGAAAGACCTCACATCTGAATAGGTGAAGAAAAGCCGCGATGAACAGCACTGAAACGCACAGAGAACGAGGAAGGGTAAAGCGCGAGGGAGAGAGAGAGATGGAAAAAACAACAACACGCGTACGGCTAGAAAAAAAGAAAAGCGACCGGCTTCAACCGTCTTCAATTCCACACAGCTGGAGTAAAAATATACTCGAATTCAGTTAGAAGAGAAGGTATTTGACGTAATCAACGCTTCCAAAGACTACAGCGGCAAAGAAGAAAAAATAACAACAGCAGAGAAATACGCTCATAACAACAATAATAAGAAAGAAGAATGAAGCAGAGAGAGAGGGAGAGAGAGAGAGAGTACAGATCGGGTTTGTTTCCTCCCTCACTGCGATAGAAGAGAACAAACAAAAAAACCCCAAAGGAGATTGTTTCTCGTGCAATTCGAAAAGAGAGGAAAAATGAAAAAAAATCTGACAGCGACTGGGGAAACGCGCATCGCGGAAGCTGGAGAGTGGCAAGACGTCACATCATGCTGCCTTGGCGGCATATCCTCTCATGTAACGGATTCAAAGCACCCGTGCAAAGTGCCGCATGCTGCACGGCAGCTGACTTCGCAGCAATGGTGTGACCGTGCAGCGTATTCTAAAAAAAAAAACCGTAGTTTGCTTTAGGAGATTTAATCTGATTGAAGACGCAATGCAAATCGTAAGAGATAAGGGAGAGACACGTAGTTCACTTAACAACAAAAAAAAGGAAAACAGCACTTTAGGAAACAAAATCGAGACAGATCGAAGCCAGCAAAACCAAAGTAAGGAGAGTCAAATCTAAAAGTATAAAACCAACAACAAAAAACCGAACAATCGACAGCAAATATCAACTTTGTGCCACTTCGAATTCCCCGAAAGCCCCTTTCATGTTTTCGCCTGTTAATGCAATTTTTTCTTTTTTCTCTCTTCTCCTCCTGGGGAGTCAACGGCTTGCCGTGTCAAAATGCTCCGCCGCAGAGCACGCAGGCAGGGCACAGAAAATGCGGCGAACGACAGTACGTGAAGAAAGATTTAACATAAATACCTTCGGGCACCACTTCCAAAAGAAAAAGTACGCCGGTTATTATCCTTCACTATTTTCTTTTAGCACGATATTAACAAAAACAAGAAATAATTCTGCATCGCCCAACAACAACAACAACAACAAGAAACGGCCGCCTTCCGTCCTTTCCGTGTCGAAGAAATGCGGAAGAAACAGCAAGAAGGAGGCAGACGGTGCAGGCGTAGCGTCCTGGATAACGTCAGCGAACACATGAGGCGGAAAAAACCCCTCAAAACAGCTGCAACATGGAGCGGTGGACGACGCCCTAGGATTTCACAACGGAAACAAAGCTGAAAGCAAAACAAACAGACAGCGCTAGCACAAAACAGCTACCCCTGAGACACGGCAATAACCCTTGTCATTCGCTCCTAAGAATACAGCGTTTTAAGCCTTGAACTCCATCCGCTGAAGAACCGTACGCAGCGGCAACGACACACATGAGTGGCCTAAAACAAACAAGCTGCTTGAGCATTGATGGCGGCTACATCAGGAAGCGGGTTCGTTGGGTTCGACTGATGGACCTCGAAGGCGCTGCACGTGCCAAACGGTGAAATGTTGGGGCTATTCTTCGCGTAGCTCACCTGAATTGCACGGTTAGTGAGCATACGGTAGCGGTTGTGCAGGGTGAAGATGGCCGTATCGGCCTCCTGCACCGTCGAGAAGGTGATGAATGCTGCACCGCGACTGCGATTGCTGTTGTCGCGTAAGATGTGAATGTGTTCGACGCTGCCGTACGCGCTGAAGAGGTTGCGCAGGCGCTCCTCCGTGCACTCAAACGGCAGCTGACCGACAAAGAGCTTCGCCGCTGTCGAGCTCAACTTGGGCTGCTGTTGCTGCTGCTGCTGCATGCTGGGTGGCACACCGTTTGGGGCGCCGTAGTCGTGGTTGAACTGACCGAGGCCGGCCACGCTGTTGCCGGAGCCGTTGTGCACGCTGCCGCGGGAGCGCAGGCCGCCGCCACGCTGCAAGAAGCCGTTCCCACCTTGCATTCCGTCGTTGTTGCTGCCGTGACTATAAGCCGTGCTGTTGTTCGCACTCCTCATCTGTGGCAGCTGTTGCTGCTGCTGCTGCGGGGGTTGGCCGGACGTGCCCGGTGCCCACGGCTTTGCGTGCGCGCTCAGGTTGGTCGCTGACATGTCCATTCCTGCGTGGTGAGTCTGTTGTGATTTGAGAAGAAGAGAGGAGAGAGCGGGACGAGCGAGTCTTCGGCGTGCACGAGTAAATGGAAAGTACACAAATTTCTTGTGTCGAAGAAATGTTGCGGGAGAACTGCGATACGTGGACATGAGGCAAAAAGTGGAGGAGGTGACGAGGGAACTAATTGTTAGCCAAAAAGAGATAAAGATAAAGACGTGAGCTACCGAGGAGGGCATTTTGTTTCTTTTTGCTGCGTGCACACACGCAGAGGATGCGCATACACGCGCTCCCCAATGATCATAAGAAAGTAATCAGTCGTATTCCTCCATCACTCTTGCGCTCTCTCTCAGCTGCAGTTGCTTTTGTTTTTACGAGGGGGGAGTACCCCGCCCCGGTTTCGCAGATAGTACGCAGATTCCTCGCACTCGTCCAGCAGAAGAAGCGGGGGTAGGAGGAAGCATTCTGCATTTGAGCATCGTTTTACCGTGAATGAGAGGGTGCAGGAGACCACTGAAGTCAAGATATAACTCCGCAGACGTAAAAATTGGAAAAAATATATATTAGAGTCAAGAGATGGAGGGGTGATAGTCGAGGCGGAACTCTGAAATAGGCAAAAAGACAAGCGTGAGAGTGATCAAGAAGAGCCGTGAAGTGGCCGAGAAAAGAAAAAATAGAAGGGAGGCGAAATGAGGCGTTCATTTTTTTTTTTAAACAAGGGATTGGCTGCGAAGACATGGGACAGATCCCCGGTCCGCGCCGGTATTAAAAGCATTTTTCAATCTCAAAACGTCTTCCTTCCACCGGGCCATCTCTTGTTTCTCCTCTCCAGGCGCTCTCATCAGCACACACACACACACGCACACTCACACACGTGCGCGTGCGTGAGCTGCTACTTCCCAAGCACTTCGACGATCGCAGCCTCAAACACCTCCACGGGCTGTCCACCACTGAGGTTCTTCTTGTTGGGGAAAGCAAAGTATGGAACGCCGTTAAAGTGCGGCAGGCGACGGGACTCGCGCAGCTCCTTGTCCAGCAAAGTCGTCACCTCTGTGTCGTTCAAGATCGACTCCACCTCCTGTTGGGTCTCCGCGATGCCCGCCTCCTTCGCTGCTGCAACCAGCTCATCGATATTGTCCAGGTTCTTTCCCTCCTTGTGGGTCATGCGGAGCAGCGCCTCCTTCAAACGATTCTGCGCGGCCCAGTTCTTCTGCACCGGACCGGCGTAGGTGAGGAGGGTGTGGGCACGGTAGGTGCTGAATATCACGTTCTTCTCGGTGTAGCGGAAGGCGATGTCCGGCAGGTTGGACGCGGCGCAGCTGCGATTCATCGGGATCGTTTCCGGGTGCTTCGTCCACTGCTCCACGATGCGGGGGTTGCCCATGATCTGGCCGATCTTCTCCGAGAAGCTGGCCGTCGTCCCGGACTTGAGCTCGCGATCTAGCTGGAAGGGCAGCCAGTGCAGCTCCAGCTCAAAGGGGGCGTTGGGACGGCTGGCGTTGACGTTTGCGGCGGCCACCTCGATGGCGCGTTTGCCCACCCAGCACCACGGGCACGCCACGTCCGACGTCACGTTGACGACAACTTTAGTGGCTGACATGATGGCTTGATGTGTGATGTGTGCGTGTGGAGGCGTTACGCGTGCTCGAGGTGCGCGTACGTGAATGTGACGGAGGACAGGGTCCGCGGACTGTAAATGTGAATGCAGCAAGCGTGTGGTTTGCCTGTCGTTGTCTACGCAAAAGTAAGACGGGATACTGCACGCAATGGGCAAAAAGAAAAATGGAAAGGGTTATTGTCTTTTGTTCTTTTAAGAATAGTATATATTGCTGCGAGGTCTCTGAGACAGAGAAATAATAATAATAATAATAATAGTAATAGTAATAGTAACTGAAACAAGAATAGTGGTGAGAGTAAGAGTAGCTTTAGTTGGCGCTAATAATATGGTGGAGCGTGTTTGGCATGCTTCGCGGAAGACGCAAGTAAGTTCAAACCAGCAAAAAAAAGGGAAAGAAAGGAGGAAGAGTAGTGGGAGAATAAGAGGAGTGTTGAGGAACTGCGCATGTCATCGTACACATTGAGCTTTCCGCAGCGACAGAAGAGTATTTGCGCGCGCGTGAGGGGTGAAGGGACAAAAACAAGAGAGAAGAATCGCCCTTGTCCTCCTCCCTTCCCTGATCGATTGAAGGCCCCCCAGCAGCAAAGGCTGGCGTCTCATTAAAATGCCAGCAGCAACAACAGCGACAAAGGAGGCGTTGCTTCTCATAGGTAGTGCACCAACGCTGAGTACGTTAAATAGAACGTGAAAGCGCAGTAACGGCAGCGATTCGATAAGAGAGGAAAAAGACTGAGGTGCACACGTGGGTGACCGTTGATGCTGTGAACAGTCGCAACAAGACTTCCACATAACGTACGTTCCTTCATCGGTTCTTCCCGCCCCCCGCCCCCTCTTCGTCCTCTTAAGAAGGCGATAGCGGCTAACTTCAACGGAGGACTCACAGTACGTGGATACGCTTCAAAAAACTCATTACCAGACTGATCGTTTCGCGCGGTTTGTCGTAGTAGACGGTGTGCGCAGCGCCAGGGATGGTGTGCTGCTCCAAGTCGAGCGCGTACCGCTCCCACACATTCCCGTACTTCGCATCGCCACCGATCGGACTCGCGCCGCCAAGAATGGACAGCACAGGGACGCTTCCCACAGACGGGCAGGTCAAGATCTCATTCCTTCGCCGTTCCTGCGCAGCCGCCGCGGTGCCTTCGGTAGGCAGAGGATCTTTGAAGTACGCATCGGTGAAGAAGAGCTCCCCGGTGCGAATGGATCGCTCGAGCACCGGCACGTTGCACTTCCAGCGAGCCACCTGCCGCGCCGGATTCGACGGGCCGGGTGCCAGGGCTAGGTTTGTCGTGCACAGGCCTCGAATCCGGATGTCGTGCATGCCGCAGCGGAAAAACTCCGCGTGTGCGCTGCGGAGGTCAGAAATGCGGTGCATCTCCACCCTCTTCATGCTTTCAATGATGTCTACAAGCTCATCCACGAGGCTGGCAGCAATGTGCGACTGCGTGATGGGGGGCATGTCTATACTCACGAAGCCTTGAACATCAGGAGGGCTTTGCACGGCACTGGTTGCGGCTTCTGATTTCTGGTTGGCGCTAGAGGATTGCTTTTGGTGTTGGTTCATGAGGTACTGCGCCCACGTCATACTTCCCATGCTGTGACCAATCGCAATGACTCGTACCTTTGACGAGGCCATCGCCCCATCCCTCCCTGCTGTTTCCACATCGTGTTCGTGTCGGTGCCCTGCGTCCATGTATTCCACTACCTCTTTCACGGTCTGCGGCAGCTGGTGCAGGAGATAGGAACGCACGTCCTCCACCAAGCTGCCCAGCACGTGCGTCGGCGTGTGCGGCGACAGACCATGATTCCGCGCATCCAGCGTCGTGATGTGAAACGGGGTAACGTGAGACATGGTGTCATTGTTTTCTAAGATGGCACGATTGCGTGCATCGAGCTCATTGCGCAGCATCACCACAAACGAGTTCATGGCGCCGCTGTGGGCGAGAAATCCGTGAAGCACGACGAAGAAGACCGGCGCCGCCCGCTGCACAGAGGCGGGGAGCAGCACCTTTGAAGGCGTCCGCACCGCGTGAAGGCGAACGACACGCATCGCCTCTTTTATGGTTGTGATTATTGTTGCTGTTGGTAGGGTAGAGTACAGAATAACAACAATAATAAGCATCACCGCACGCACAACCGAGGTTCGGCAGCGACGAAATGAAGGAGAAGAAGAGGAGGAGCAGAGAGATAAAAAGAAGCGGATGTCACCAATGCCGTGCCATCACTACGGCGCAAAAAGAGTGGTGCTCGTGAGTCTCTTCGCCCTCACGCACCTCAGCTCAGTAACCGGAGGTAGTAAAGCAGCCCTTTCGCGTGCGGCGGGAAAAAAAAAACAAGTCCCCTCCCCCAAGAAGATCCACGCAGACAACAGAAAAAGGAGAAAGAAAAGCGATGCACGCATCTAACTGCTCAGCTTGGACCATCTTCCGAAGATGAATATGTGCAAAATACGCTTCAAAAAGACGTAGGTACGGCCGTTTCAGCTTTTTGAGAAGAGAAGCTGTAGAGTGCGACTATCACAATGTGTACAGTTGTAGGTGTATATCTTTTTTTTTGGTGTGGATGTAAGCATAAATCAACAGCACAGTCAGTTTTCCTCAGGAGGGGCAACGATGTTAGCGAAGAGCGCATATACGTACTGCGGCCTTTGAGAACAGGTATTTGGTGTGTGTTTTACCTCAGGCTTTGACAGAGGAAAACCAACAACCTCCCTGGTATTCCAAACAACAACGCCACGCTTCGACGTGGTCGCGAAGAAGAGCGCGGCAAACGTCCACCTTCGCGCCTAAATGCACCACCACCGCCGCCACCACCACAAAACAAAGTACATACATATAAAGAGAGTATAAAAATAGAAAGTACTACTGAAATGATGAGAATTTAGGACCGCAGAAGCGAGGATGCAAGAACACTGCTGAAGAGCAACACACCCGAAGAATGAGAAGATAATCTTACAAAGCAACAACACCAAACACGAAGCGCGTGCCTGCCGTACTCAGGCGGCGAGCCGATGGGGACAGAGCGTCACCTCTTCCGCGTTGTACCAGACGAGAAGAGAAATAAAACCGAGACACCACATCAGCAACGTCAAAAAACCACACCATTGTACTCTTTCAGAATGACGAACGAACAAACAACCGCAAACAGCAACAACAACAGCGAAAAGGCGTTGAAGTAAAAAAGGAAAAAAAAGGACGCAGAGAGAAGAAGGATACGTACGATTACAATATGAAGCTTAAAGAAATATATTTCGCTGCAATGCATTTGTGACCAGTAAACAAATAAATATATAAATAAATAAATAAATAAATAAATAAATATATATATGCGTCATATGCATCACCTGCCGCAAAGACGGTTGTGTCGAATTGCACAGACGCTCGTCAGCGAGTGAGAGTAAACGGAAAAAAAAGGGAAAAAAGAAAGAGAGAAGCACAACATCATCAGCAAATCGAATTTCAATCAAAAATATACGGTAGTGAAAGACGCCGTGAGGTACCGACGGCTGTTTTCGCAATCAGTGATAGAGAACAATCTCACCGTTACCGACTATCAAAAAAGTGCTGAAAAGAAAAAAAGCTGTGCATGCACGTGCGACAGGCGAGATACAGAAAGACTACGACACCACGAACAAAAAGGACGCAACGGCCACACATTGAGAAACGCCAAAATATGTATATGTATTACGATTCCATCCATGTGTCTACAAACATTTCCAAGATATATTAGCGAAAGACAAACCGATTCGAAAGGAAGAAAAGAAAGAACGAGAGTTGCGAAAATATATATATGAATAAATGCAAATAACAGAACAGTTCATCTGCACTTCAGCAGCAAAGAAAAAACCCTTCTCGAGTGCAGCGTATTTATAAAGGTGGCACTTTGAAGATGACAAACAAAGAACTAATAATCATAATCGTACTACGAACACAGAGAAAATAATTGATCAGTGGAGAGAAGTCTACGGGGGAAAGAGAGAATTCCCTCTTCTCTTTGGATGAAGGGAACAAGAAAAGAAGCAGTTTTTTGTCGGCGCAGCAGCAACAAGGATTGAACAACACCAACACCAAAAAGAAAACCTCATTCCTTCTGCGGAGACGCCTGCACTCCACAACTACACCAACAGCATGATGACAGACGTGTCTGCGACACCTCAATCGAGCGAATCCCTCTCCGCCGATCCCGTCGGTGCGGAGAGGCGGCGGGTGTCAGAGCCAGAGGTAGAGGCTGTTGCGGCGGGTGTTCGCAGCGACAACACACTCGTCTCCGTGCCGCATAAGCTGTATCCGTGCGTGCTGGAGAGGCTCGGATGAAAGCAGCGCGTCAGCTTGGAGGCGAGCACTGGAATAATCGGCACGGGCACCCGGCGCAGCATTGTCTCGGCTTCGTCTAACATGTGCTCGACGTCGCGGTGACGGTGGAAGGACGGGATGGATAGGTGCCTCGCGTCGTCCGGGTGGCCGCCATGACCGCCCTCCGTTGCCGCCGTCGCACCGACAGCGTACACCTCGATAATTCCACTCCCTGGCTCGGACAGCGCACCTTGGGTGACGCCACCTCCCGTGTGTGCGGCGTGGCCGTTACCCTGGTGTTTTTTCCCACTGCCGTTGGAAGCGGAGCGGTGCGTCAGCTCCCGCGAGTGAAGACCGCGATTCGCCGTGGCCGAGTAGGGTTGACTGCTGCCGTACCCGTTCTGCGGACTCTTGCTGAGGGAGGTGCTGCCTGCTGGGCCGGCGTGTGAGGGGGCATCGCGACTCCCCGCCCGCGCCATCGGCTGCAACGCGTTCGTTGCCGCGTCGCCTTCTCCCTCCATCGCGGGGATGTCGCCTCCGTTGTAGGAGTTGGAGAAGGGCTTGGAACGCTGCAGGGGCAAGGGCGTGCTATCGTCTGCGCTGTCTGTGGTGATCGTTGTTTCATCGTTCGTTGTGGACCGCCGGCGGACTTTGGGGTGTTGCCCACGCGCGGCCCGCGGCGAGCGCTGCGCTGCGGAGCGCCGGGGCAGCGCCGTCTGCGCCGTCGCCAGGCGCTGATGGTGGACAGAGACGAGCGAGTGCAGGTTGGGCAGACGGGCCGAAGTGGACATCGAGGCGTGCTCCGGCTCCACCAGCGGCAGGAGGTGCGAGAGGCCCTCGCCGAAGCCACGTTCGTCGCCAGTCCCCCCGTTTTGATGCCTTCTCCGGTGCGGCAGAGCAGGCGCAGCGCCCGTCGCGTCTGTCAGCGGCTGCGGCAGCTGCGAGGGCGGAGGAGGGGTGCTCGCCAGGCTGCACGACGCCTCACACGCATCGCGCTTCACCTTCGCAGCGCTTTTCTCACCCGACTGCGGGTGCGACGCGGAGGTCTTATCAGGCGCCGCCCCAATGGACAGGTCCTCGCCGCGGCAGACGCCTCTGCCCCCGGTGCTGCCTGCAAGCGAGGAGGAGAAGAGGGCCGGAGTGGCGGGTGCGCCCCTTGTGAAGAAGTACCGCAGCGCACTGCTGCACCCCGCCTGGGTCCCCACCGTGTTCACCGCTGCGGAGTGCACCGAGTGTAAAAAGGTTGTCTGCCCGTCCAAGGAGGACTCCAGAGGAGCTATAGGCCGTACGCAGCTGTCGGCGGTACTGAATCCACCGCTCGGCAGTCCACCACGAGCCACACCGCTGCTCGTGTCGTCTTTATGAAAATGCGGTCGTTCCGCTAAATCGGCCGCCGTGCCGCCGCCGTATAAGACGAGAAGAGGGCTCTCCGTCAGCGCGCTTGACAGCGCTGAGGAAGCCGGTGCAGCGCTCCGTTCATGCGACACATCGGCATCCGGGTCTGCCGTGGCGGGGAGGCCCTCCGTGGAGAGGGGGAAGCCATTCGAGTGCGTCAGCAGGAGAGAGGAGGAGACGCGGCTGCGGTCGAATTTGCCGCTGTCCTCCACAGGATCGTCCGCCGCGGCGAAGAAGGATCGGGAGCCGGACTGCGTGTGCTGTGGCTGCAGCTGCGACCGCGACGTCGACAGCTCCGGTATCGGTGTGTCGCGATGCGCTGCGTGCGTTGGGGCGGCGGCGGTGGGGGCCCCTTTCATCGAAGAGTTGGGTGGCACTGCGGCGAACTGCGGATCGGCGGACCGGACTGTTGGAGATGTCGTACTACGAATTCCTCTTTCCCTTCTTGTCACACCTGCCATGTCTTCTCGCGGCTTCGATAGTGTTGCAAAGGTGGTGTGTGCGCTGTGGTGGACCAGTGCAGACGTCGGCTCGGGAGGCGGGCTTGCACGGAGCGGACGCCCCGTGCTGAAGCCACGCATGCTCGTGAGGAAGGAGTGCAGTCCACTGCTGTGCGCCTCGGCCGACACAAAAGACGAGCCGTAGAGGAAGCTCTCCTGCATAAGCGCGGCAGCCGTCCCGTTCGCCGTGGACGCCTGCATCGACTGCCCGGCACGCCACTTCGGACTATGCTGCAGCGAGCGGGTCGGGTGAGGAAGCCGTACGTAGGCGTTGTTGCTGCTCTTATTCGCGTACATAGACACCTCGGAGTCGGGGGTCGGGGAGGCGGTGTGTACGCGTTGGGTCGACGGTGACGTGGAGTGCGACGCGTCACTAATGGCGGAGCGCCACAGCGAGGCAGGGGCCCCGCCCAGCGCCATGCCGTGCGTCAGCGTCTGCAAAATGTTGTCTGACAGCATCGAGGAGCCGTGATAGAGGGAGACGGCGCTGTCGTGCATGCTGCTCTGGCCGCGGGTGGGGGCCCAGGAGGAGTGGGTGTTGCTCCACGGCGTATCCAGGGCAAACGATATCGACGTCACTGTGGCGCCGCGGGAGCTCTGCTGCGCCAAGGAGGGGGAGTGAAAGCTGCTGTCGTCGACGGTGCGGCGGCCGCTGCTGGGCTGGCAGTGCGACTCCCGTCCGTCCTCGTTCGTTGCGCTGCTGTTGCTGCGATCCGCCCGCAGCGGCGCCGCCACTCGCGAAGGTTGGAGCGGCGGTGAAAGCGGCAACGGTGGCCGCCCTTCCACCACGGGCAGCACAGCATCCGCGACGTCTACACGGCTGTCTTTCTCTGTGTCGCCGCTGCGCGAGGGGGTGGCGGCGGCGGCGGCAGCAGCGGCCATCGCGGCACGCAGGGAGGCATCAAACCTGGGAAGCGCCATCAGCGACGCGGTGCTGACACTCATGAAGGCCGGCAAACCGACAGAGCAGGAGCTGGAGCGCGCAAAGCCGTGCGGGGGAGAGGCCAGGGGACGGGAAGGCGGCGTGAATAGCGTAAAAAGAGAAGAGAGCGCAGGGTCGGCCACCTCCTTGTGCGATGTCGGAGGCGACCGGGCCGCGTCTGCGTGCGGCAGCTGAGAAGCCGGCGAGGACACCCGCATCTCCTCAAAGTTCAACCCGTGGGGCCGGACAAAGTCTGAGTCCTGCGTCACGACCGAGTTGTGGGAGCTCTGATTGCTGGTGGTGGTCCCGGCGAAGTTGGGGCTGTAGGTCCCGCCGTTGATGGGCGACGAGATGGCCGCCTTCGTTTTCGGTGTTGTCGACGTCCTGCTGCTTCCGCTGGAGCCGGAGATGGGCGGAGGAGGGGGCGGAGAACGGGGCATCGAGCGCGTGTGTGCGCTGCCGCCGTCTACCGGCTGACGTTCTGCCACGGACGCAGGGGGTGAATGCGTGCGGTGATCGGAGGTGTACTGCCACAACTTAGACCTCCCCAACGAGATGAGCGGGCTGTCCGCGGAGTCGCTCGCGTTTTCGGTGCTCTTCTCCGTCGCCACCCGGCTGCTGTGCTGGTGCGGTGTCATCTTGCTGTTTCGGCTAACCATCGAGCCGCGGGTAGAAGGGTGAGCCCCTTCACGCGTCACCGCGCTGAGCGAGGTCGGGCACGGGGACACCGTGGCGGAGGCAGTGGAGATGGTGAAGGATGATGTGGACGGTGACGGGGTAAGGGCGTCGATGGCTGCGGACAGCGGCAGATGAGAGAGCGGGCTGCGGCCGTTTCCTTCAGCGGCGTTGTGGCACTGCGTCTCCGCGGTGGAGTAGGGGACCGAGGTGGGCGACGACGACGACGAGGACGAAGATGCAGAGGGCGTCGGGGAGGTGTTGGGACCGTCCTGTGGCGTGCGTTGCGTTCCACTCAACGGAGGACCGTCGACGACACCGCTTGTGCGTGGCCGATGATGGATTTCTTTGCGAGGTGCACCCTCCAACGGTTCCGGGGCATGGCTTGCCGCGGCCGGGACTGCCGTGAGAAAAGGGCCCTCAAATGGGGAGAGCTGCTGCAGCTGCGCTAACGCATGCGGCAGCGTCTTCGTACCCCCGATCGGGTTCGAGGAACTGTCCGTGATGACGGGGCTGGACGTCGCCTTCGACACGTGCAGCGTCCGGCGGTCCGCGCTGGTGTTCTGCACGGTGTTGTGGTTGCTGTGCGAGAGATCCGCCGTGGGGGAGGTGAGGCTGTGAATGGACTGCGACTGCAGCAGCTGGGGCGTCGCGTCGGGCGGGCCGCCGCCATCGTCGCTGCTGCCGGTGGTAGTGGCCTCCGCGGTGGGGAAAGCGACGAGGCGTGCACCGGAGATGGGGCTGTAGGTCTCTGCTGCTGCCACGGGAGCAGTAGCTGCTCCCCGCCCACCGGCACCAGCACCAGCGGTGGGGGATGTCGACACGAGGTCCTCTAAGGCGCGCCTGTGCGGGGTGTGGGGGTTGTGCTGCAGGGGTTTGTGTGCGTCGCCGTCCGCGACAACGCCAGCGTGGAAGGAAAGGGGTCGAATTGGGTGCGAGTTCATCGGGGACCGATCCGCCATCGCGGCGTCGGCGTCCATGGGGAGGAGCGAGGGATGGGCGCGCGCAGCCGGCACGCCGTCGATGTCGTTCACGTTGGTGGGACCTTGATTGTCCCCGGCGTGCATCAGCATAGCCGGCGCGGCTGCCGCAGCGGTGGTGGCGCGGTCTTCCTGCATCTTTTGGCGGATACTGTTCTACTCTTGCGCGGTTGACCACAGCAACAAAAAACACTCAAACACGCAGACAACAGAGGAAAATGAGACTAATTTGGCTGAGAAGCCCGCAACGCAAACACACAGACACGCAGACACACACACACACAAATAAGATGACTGAAAGGGGAAAGAGTGAGAATCGGCGTGACGGTGACGCAGAGGGAGAAGAAGAAAAACAGCAATCAGAAAAGAGGGCGTCCAAGCAGTGAGAAAAGTACATGTATATATATATAGAGAGAGAGAGAAAGACCTGGAAAGACAGAAGAAAAAAAAGTCAAGAAGAACTATTCAGAAAAAAACAAAACAGTACGAACACGAAGAGAACACCCCAAAGCAGAACAGCGGCGATGTACACGGCGTGAGAGGAAAAACAAGGCGAAACACCTATCGAAAACAGCAACGGAAGAAGACGTAACGGAACGAATTATGCAAAAACAACAACAACTTCTTGTAGATGTGGAGCACCCCACCAGAAGATTGTGTCGCGTGAAGGTAACGGGGCTTTTTTCCACTCAAAACTTGTGGGAGATCGCCTGAAAGATGGGGATTGCTAGAAACACAGAAACAGCAAAACTATGAAACTACGAAACTACAGCAAAGATGCTTAGGAGAAACGCAAAAGGACGTACTTTTATGAAGAGATGTGTGAACGAGCGGCGCAAAGAAGGAGAAAAGAAAAAGAAAAAGAAAAGAGAAGGCAGACGAGGCAGCGGGGAGTTGCACAAAGAAATGGTGATGAGAGAAACGGTGTATATATATGTAAATAAATGACGAAGCTTTACGTAGAGAAAGAACGCCACAAAGGGCTTGATATTAAAATGTGCCGCAATTCACTGAAGAGAACAAAAAAACGCAAAGAAGAGAAAAAAGAAAAGAAAAGTCAAATGCAGAAGAAAAACAACCGTAGCTACTGATGAAGGAAACGGAACGCAGCTCGCTTCCTTCGTTCTTTTCTTTCGTTGAATCACGAGGCCGTGACGGCCAGCTCGTGTCGCTTTGAAGAGGCTGCGAAAGGGATGTGGGGGTTTGTCTTTACGTGTGTGTATAAGGAGTGGTGGTCACGCGGGATGCGTGAGCGGAAGTGGATGTGCTTGCCTTCCTGTTTCAACCTTTCTACTTTCGGATTGCGGGAAAAAACGTGGAGCGGCTGTGCGCGGGGAACATCAGATCACGCAATCAAGGATAAAGAAGAGGCACGGAAGCAGAAGAGGAAGTCAGGAATGGTGATCATTATGTTGCCAAGGAGAGTGAAGCCGTCCGACCACGAAGAGCACCATGAAAAACGGAAGAGGCTCAGACCCTTATCTTAGACGAGTAATAATAATAATGATAATAATTATAAGAATTCTCTTTTTTACGAAATCAGCCTCTCCCGTGAGAAGATGGAATCGCGGTCCGTCCTTTAAAAAGAAATAGGGCTCAGCGTACGCGAGATGATGACGGCATCACAGTCGAAACCGACATGATCCATGTGCGGCTCTGCAGCACGAAACAGGACAGGTTCGCGTTCACAATGCGCTACAGGGCACAGTCAAACAACAGGAGATGCGATAGGACTTTTTGCAGGCCGCCCATTAACGTTTGCTTTTATCTTCTCCTTTTTTTCTCTTACGTAGAAATTCTCCTGCGTGGTTTGCCGGAGGACGAAGGGATAGAAAGAACTATGACACTTCCCATGTTAGTTTCTGCAAGGGAGAGGGCACCACACAGATATGGGCCATCTTCATCGAAGTGATAAAAAGGAAAAAGAAAGGACAGAAACAGCTCAACACAACACAACACGACACAACACAGAAACACACACACACCAACGAATGACAAGCAAAGCAGACCAAACAACCGTAACAGCTAAAAAGAGTGTATATGTATCAACAGCAGAAAAATGAGCTCAGTTTTTGACAAGAACAGCAGGAAACAAAGACCTGATACGCGCGCACAAGCAGTTCGGCAAAAGAGTTTCAATAGAGGGAGAGAGAGGAGCACAAGAGGATTTCTACAAGGAAACACTTATCATTACACATATTAAGATAAAGATATATACATGTATATATATATATATATATATATATAGAAGAGGAAGGAGAGAGAGTCATACATCTTCGCCGCCCCGTCCCCCCCCCCCCCTAAAAAAAAAAAAAAACGAAGAGAGACAACAACAACAAAAAAACCCACGAAAAAAAGAAAAGTTAAGGACAAACTTGTGGGAAAAATAGATTAAAAACCGAGGTCATCCATATGCACCTTCTTCTGGTTCGCTGCTGTTCACCACAGTGGAGAGTTCCCAATGATGACAAATCGAATACGAACGCGTGCGGGGATGTGAAACAACACACACACACACACACACACACACACACAAAACTGCAAGTTCGAGCAAGAAAGCTCAAGGTAGGGTTGGCGCGCGCGAAGGAAAAAAAAACGATGAGGTATACCTCGTCAACGCGCCAGAAATGGGAGAAGGAAAAAGAAAAAAAACAAAGATTTATATTCAATACACCAAGCAAAAGTTGAACATATCCCTATATCCAAATAACCAAACATATATCCAAACATATATGTGTATATATATATATTTCTTTTTCACACAGTATAGAGGAGCGCCGCCAGCAAAAGCACCAACAATAACCAACGGAGAGGACAAGAGAGGGTGCAAAGCTTAGCGGATGCATTGCGGGAAAACAAAAGAGGCTGTTTTTCTTTCTTTTCTTTTTTGCCGCCAACACTTTATTGTTGTTGAGCCCATTACACACTTTTCTCGATTACATTTAGAAAGGAAGAAAAGAAAAAGGTTTTGGTGGCGTATCACCAAACACAGCCGATCAGGCGGAAAGGGAGGAGAAAAGGAAAAAATAGTCAAAACAATAGAGACATATACATACATGAAGCTCGCGTACTATCCAACAAAAGGGGGGAGGAGGTGGTGGTGGTGGGAAGAATACACACGGAGACAATCATTCGACGAAGAAAGTGGAGTCACAATCTTCGAGAAAAATACAAATGGGACAGTGAAAAAAAAAACAACCGAAACAAAGCAAAAGCAAAAGGAAAATAATAATCTGAAGGAAGGCGCCACGGCCGCACCTCATTTGGCCTCCTCTAAAGAGAATAAAGGGTGCGGCGAGAATCTTTCTCTATGCACGCGTGTGTGTGTGTGTATGTGTGTGTGTGTATGTGTGTGTGTGTGCGTATGTATTTTTACAAACGTTTTATTCTTCTCTTTCCCTTGACTAAATGCACAAAACAGACCAAGAAAAGAAAAGAGAAACGACCGCTGCTGAACGTGTACACGTTTGCCTACAAGATGGAAAACGCACAACAAAGAAGCACACGCACCAATAAAAGTCAGGGAGGAAAACTCTGCAGCCGCCCGCAAAGCGACGATGATAGCCAACATAACAGCACCTCTCTTCTGCAACTCGTCGATGCAGCAACTGCACGCATTTTTTTTGTTTTTAAGTTAGCTTTTAAAAATCTTCTTTACATCCTTGGAGTCTTTTGTTTAAGCCTTTTTCCTTTCGTCGTGCTCTTCGTGTGACACAAAATTCGTGCACCTCACGAGGTAAAGAGACGACATACCGGCACAGGACGATTACAACTACCCCGAAAGCATCATTGCGGTGCAGACTAAAAATACCAACAACAGGAAAAAAAATCAAAGCGGAGACGCCATCCACGTAGCACCCTGTCACAGCTGACTCCCCTTTCTGAGGACGAGTATTCGACGCGTTTGAATACGTGCCTTGGAGGAATACATAGGCCATTCTTTAGTTTCTTAGCCATATAAACAAGAAGAGCTGTTAGTAGAGGTCGTAGTCATCGTCAGGGTCCGCGATCATGGAGTTCGGATTCTTTGGAGGCTTCAGCAGCGCCTTCGTCGGTACACGACTAACCTTTTCTTGGTGGAACGGCCGCTCATCTAAGGCCTCTTTCGTGCCATTCATGTCCTCGGCTCCGACCATGCGTGTTTGACGGCGCTGCACGCGGCCTTCTGACGCGTCTCGCCGCGCCGGCTGCGGATTATTAAATCCACGCGGCTCCCCGGGCGAGGCCGCATCGCGCAACGTGTTGTTCAGCGAGTATTCCGCGTTGCTACTGTCGGATCCCGTGACGTGGCCGTTCCGCGCTGCGGGTGGCGTCGTCGCCCGGTGCGACCGCTCGCCGTGTGCAGCGGCTTTCCTCCCCGCCCTGACCGGCGTGGCGGCGTCTTTTTTGCTTTTGCTCGCACCGAACCCCATTTTTTTTTTCACTCTTTACGATAACAGTAAAAACAAAACAAAACAGACAAACGATGCTTTGTTTGTACGGGTTAGAGGGTTCGCTTCTACACAGAGAAGAAAAAGACCCAGAAGAAAAGAAAAAATGTGTGGGGGTGCGGCGGGAGGGAAAGTGCCGCTGATACACGTCAGCTCACTCTAGCAAGTAGCTCGTAAGAGAAAGAAAACAATAATAATAGTACTAACAGAAGGAGCAGGTGGTCACTGACCGCTTCTTGAAGATTAACTGTTCTTTTCGAAGCGTTGACGAGGCAGGGAGATGATAATAGAGATAAAAAAGTCGATGCGCACAGGAGAGACGAAGGAGGCCCAATACAAATTATAACATACAACGAGTACCAGAGAAGGCACGAAAGAGGTTTAAAAAAAGGTGCAGAGAGAGGGAGAAAGGAGGAGGAGAAAAGTATAGCCATGCGAGTGAGGCGATTCAGCGCGCGCAGGCGCAAAGGAGCCGCGTTAAGAAGGGGCGTAGCCGCACACATACAAAGTAGAGCGAAAAGAAGAGAAGAGAAAAAAGAAAACGGATCCCTCTGCGTGTCTTTCTTCGTCTCCTTCTCCGCGTTCGCCATGATGTACGGCAGTGAGCGGCGCCGTGGTAGTGCGATACCTCCGTGGAAAACTTCGCTGGCAAAAGAAAAGTAAAAGAGTACCCCGTCGCGTACTTTCCCAAGTGCGCGTCGCGCAAGGTTACTTGAACTTTCTCCCTTTTATCCGTTCAAGAAACGCATGAGACGCGCACACCGGCTTTTGATGTAACGCGTCCAAAAGTGGCGAAGGCGAAAAGGTACCGTTGAGCGCAACGCTTTTGCTTTGCCCTTCGTTTTCTGTTCCTTCGCACTGAGTGCGTGAGAGAGAGAGGGGTAACACCGCTCAGCCAGGTGGTCTTCGGCAAAAAAGAATAAGCAAGCAAAAAAAGAAAAGCCTTTGCACAAATAAATAGAGGGAGAGAGAGACGCACACGCACACACACGCACACGTGTTTCTCTCCGACGCGCTGGAAGGCAAACCATCGAGCATCACTAACAATGAAAATGCGGAAAAAAAAAGAAGAGAAAGTAGGGGAAAAAACCCACGTAGCAGTTCTACAGCTCATCCGGCGACTTGGGCTGCTGCTGCTCCTGCCGCTGCTGCTCCGCCGCCTTCACGCGCGCCTCTTCTTCGCGCCGTAGACGGTTCTGCTCCAACTGCGCCCGAGCGCAGTCCGCGACGCCGCCGTTGGGCAGTCGACACATCACCTCCGTCTTGAACTCCAGTTCAGGGTTGCCGCCTATCCGCCGCACCGGCCGTGGTCGGTTCGCCCAGCGTTCATCTGCTTCTCGCCCCATGCGCTCCTCATCACTGAGCGTCAGCACCTTCGAGCCGGTGGCAGCCGGGGCTGGGTCCGTGTTGTTGCTGGGCATGTTGTGCGTACGTCCAGTGTTGAAACAGCCAGCTGTGGCGCCTGCGTGGAGTGCGTTGGCAGAGGTGAGAAGGATCAGAAGCAAAGCCGCGGCACCCAGCAGCGCGAGAGTGCGAAGGAGGTGGGACGTCTTGAACCTTTTGCTCTGATCGGCAGGATAGTAAATGACAACCCAAAAGGGATATCGACAGCGGAGAGAGAGAGTAACAATGCCGTTTCCTATATATATAGAGAGAGAGCAAAGAGAAAAATATATGAAGAGGTAACGACGGAACGGAAAACGAGGTTACGCGGATTTGTAGAAGATGCGTGACTACTGAAAGACCCGACACCACAAAAACAAACACGAAGTAAATAAAAGGGGAGGAGAGGAGAGACGAGAGCAAAAATGATGAGAACTGCGAAGAATGACCGACGTAAAACAAACAAACAAAAAAGCGCTGTCACATCGCGTGATCGGTTGATCGAGTAGGCGGTTTTGCACCAACGGAGGGCGCTACATCTGCAACTTTGGCCAAGAAAAGAGAAGATGTCTCTTGTAATGCATTCGTCTTCAAAAAACTACAGTGCAATGTCCGTCGTCAGGGGAGACAAGAATAAGAGAAGAAGTTTAGGGGATACGTTCCGCGCGCATTAGGGGCCAACACAAACACACGTAGGACCTGAGAAGGTGTTTTCAAAAACGGTCGTAGTTAAAACCACAAAAATTAGGTTGCACACTAGAGGGACGGATCGCAGTGTAGTGCATTATCCTACTGCACCAGAGGGCATAGATTTACATAGAAGAGCAGTTCCAAGAGAGTTCTCCTTCTCCTCCCCAGACAACTTCGCCTGTCAACGCGATACAGAGAAGCTTGCTTTAGAGGAGAAGATGAAGAAAGGCGGCTTCCTCGACGGCGTCCGCAGCTGCAGCGTCACCACCCACCCCGTTAACGCTGCTTGTCGCCTGCACAGAACTGGGGTAGGGCTGGAGAGTCGCGGCGAGGGCACGGGCTTGACGTGACGCCGTAGCACAACGCCTCTCCCACGCCGTCCCACGGGCCTCGAGAAGCGCTTTCAGATAATTCAAATCCTCCGCCGCCGCCGCCGCTCTCCCTGCCGTACTGTTACCGCTGCCGCTGCCTCCACTTGGAGCCGCCACAGCGTTGGGCGAGTGAAGGCCTAGGAGCACGAGTTCCACTCCGCTCCAGCTGCGAAAACGAACCGTCGACGTATCGACAAACGCCGACAGCGGAATAGCGGCAATCGCCATGCCGTGCCGCTCTCTCGCGACGGTGGCGAGCGTGCGCTGCCCATCTGGGATGCGCATGAAATGCGCAAACACAACGAAGCCGCTGGATGCGTCGGTGGCCTGCGCGAGGGAAGGCAACCGGCACGCAGCGGGCAGCAGCAGCAACGACTTTGCCGTGTACACGAGGGCATCCACGTCGACGCGGTAGTACATGAGGTCTGACCCCAGAACAAGCTGCACGGGCGCGCCAGTAGAGGCTGGAAGTTTCTTTTGAAATGCTTTCACACCCTCGTCACTCCACGTAAGACGCAGAGTCGAGAGACGAACATCAGTAGGAGAAGCGAAGTCGTGTCGCTGCTGTGGGGCATCAGAAGGTGTGGCGTCCAAGTCGCGCACTGGTCGCCCAGCGAGCCGGCCACTGCGCCGCACCAGGGCTAAGCAGTCCTCTGAGGCGTCTGTAAAGATAAGAGAGACCGAGGCCGATGGAGAGCTGTCTCTCATCGGGGCCGAGGCGTGCTCTTGTGCCGCGGCGGCCATTCTGGTGTGGAGAGCAGCATCCAACGTGAAGCCCACCAACCCGCAGCCGCAGCCCAGTTCAACGACAAAAGCCGATGGAGGCGGACACACGTTCCGCGCTCCAGACGTGCCGCCGCTCTCGGGTGATGTTGTGACAGCTTCTTCTCCCAACACAGGAGGAAGCAGTGCTACGCCGTAGCGGTACATGAAAGCGGCCAGCACCTGCGCCCCTTCATACACCCGCAACCCCGTGCTGCACACCTCCGCCGGATCGGAGGCGACGCTCGAGTGCGCCGTTGTGGTGCGATCGTAGTGCTCCCTCACGGTGGCACAGGCGAGGGTGACGGACAGCGCACTCGTGCCGTCCGCCGCGGTCACAACCTCGAAGTCTTCCTTGTACTCCATGAAAAGAGAAGTGTATCTATTGCTGCTGGAAGTGTTGAAAACAACTCAAAAGAACAAGATGATGTGGCAGGAATGGCAAAGGAGGGGGCAGAAGAGATGCCGTGAAGATCGCCTATTTATTGTTGCTGACTTGGTGAGGTCTTCAGACAATGACACACACACAGACACAGACACTCACAGCAGTACGATTTCTTTCCAGTAAGTTTCACAAGACGGCTATCAAAGCGCCTGTCATTTTGTTCCTCCGTGTGCAGACCCACTTCGAGGGGAAAAGGAGAGCATGCTGCTATCCAGAAAGGTCTTCCTCTTTGTGAGTATCTGCTGTGCCTTCAACGTTTCTTCATTTTGGGTCTTCACGGGCGTGACTTCAGACTCGTACCGTGGAGCGACAATGTGCCGTTAGCCATTAAAAGATATATCCGCCGTCAAGAAACGATCGCGCTAGATAAATCAAAGTAAAGAGGAAAGGATGAAAAGCGAGGCAACGGCAATAATGATCGAAGTACCCCAGCAACAGCAAAAGGAAACAACGAGACAGCTTTACAGCGTCTTCTTTTCTTGACTTTTTTTTCACGTTGGCGAATGCGATAGGGTCGCTGATTTCGTAGAAGAACTGCAACAGGAAAAAAAAAGTATGATTATGGGATCAAAATCAGAAAGATGAAGAAACGTACTTTACAGCACGTTCTTTCTTTTGCCCCGACACGCTGCCACGGCCGCAATGAGGGTCGTCGCCACCGAAACACACGTCAGCATTTTCGCTTCTCACTTCCCTTGCTTCACTTTTGATCAGCAAAGAGAGCTGCACGACTGTGAGGCACCTCCAGCTTCGCCACGAAGTCGCTGCCCACAGGCACAATCTTGTAAGGACTCAGCGCGTAGTAACCGTCCTTGATGTGCTTCATGTGCAACGTCGGCGCCAGGTGCAGCGTCTGGTACACATCGCGCAGCCACTCCAGCAGGTTGGGGCACTCGCGGATCAAGATGCGGTTGCACTTGAAATGCACGGAGTACACCTCATCGAAGCGCACGAGGCAGCAGAAGACGCGGATGTCCGCCTCCGTCACAGCGTCGCCGGTCAGGTAGCGCTGATGTCGCAGCAGCTCCTCCAGCTCGTCGATGGTCAAGAAGACGCCCTCCACCGCCTCATCGTACGCCTCCTGCGACTGCGCGAAGCCGCACTTGTACACGCCGTTGCACAGCGGCTCGTATGTGCGCTCGTTCATCGCGTCGATCGCCGGCAGCAGCGCCGCCGGGCTCAGGTCCACCGCCGGGTGCGTCGCGAACTCGTCGAAGGCGCTGTTGAAGATGCGGATGATCTCGGAGCTCTCGTTGTTGACGATGGTCTTGGTCACACGGTCGAAGAGGACGGGGACGGTGTAGCGCGTCTCGAACACGTTGTCGCTGTTCTTCATGGACAGGTCGTAGATGTCGCGGACCGTCTTGAAGAGGCCGAGCGGGTCGGGAGTGGCGCCCGGGTAGGACGGGTCAAACACCCAGCCCTCGTGGTCGTCGACGCCAGGCCTCGTGAAGGCCCACACAGGGGAGGTCACGGCGAGCTCGATGACGTCCTCCAGCCCTTTCGCGACGCGGTAGGCGGTGCAGCGGCTGGCCCACGGACACATGTACGAAACATAAAGAATGTAGCGCCCCTTCGCGGGAGGGTACTGGCCGCCCTTTTCGATCTTGTTGCGGAAGGCGGTGGGCTTGCGCTTGAAGGCGCCCTTCGCGTCCACATCCTCCAGCGTGGTCTTCGCTTTAATTTCTGGCGTCGACATCGCTGAGTGAACTGAGTGTAACTCGCGGTGTTCCTTTTATTGGCAAAGCTGTTGGAGCGACGAAAAGTGACTGGCGGAGCGATATGCTTTTAAATACACAACAAAAGCAGATGTCGAGGGCCAGGGTTTAGAAAAGGAAGGCAGGGCGGCAGTAAAACAAAAGAAGTAGGAAGCAGGAAGAAATGACCCACGTGCTCACATAAATGATGTGCGTGCAGGAGACGTGTAGGTAACGGTGGTGGTGTGTGTGTGTGTGTGTTTGGTAGGCTTCTGCGAATCGTTTCGGATAGCGTGTAAGAAGCCCGTCTCCAAAAATATTTTCATACGAGATCACAGCCGACGGATCAGCGCAAATGAAGAACGAGAAAGTAAAGGGTGGAAGAGAAAATATGAAGGTGAGACATTGATGTTGGCGGCGGCGCAGGAAACACGAGCATAAACCCCACAGACGCAGAAATATCCTCTTTCTGCCCGTCAACAACAACAACGTGTACTGCGACGGGTGCTGGGCATCACCCAACGCACACTGAAGCTGACAGTACGAAGAAAAAAAAAGAGAAAAACGGCAGAAAGGGAGAGGCGGGTGCTCAATGACATACCACAGTAATCAATAGCTGACCGATCAATCTGTTCATGCAAGTATTTATTCGCTTATTGTCAGCGCTTCGTTTCAACTTTTTTTTTCGAGCGTGGATGAAAATGAGAAAAGGCCGACCGTAGAACGATCATGTCGAGCGTAATATGTCAAAAACAAAGGCAATAAAAAAAGGGAAAACAGAGAAATAATAATAATAAAGAAAGCCAAAGGGCTGAGACGTTTATGTGGGTTGCCTATTCCAGACACACACACACACACACACACACACACTACACCAAACACATAAACACGTACATATCAATCAAGACAGCTTATAATAGTCGAAGCCGGCAGAAAAAAAAGCGCAGGGAACGACGTGATCGGCACGATTTGCCCGGTTTGGAAGTGAAATAGTAATAAAACGGAAGAACGAAAAAAGCACCTTACAGTGGCTTCCGTCCCTTCACGTGTGAATGTGACTTGCTGAACCAGTCACTACGGGTTGTTGTTGGGAGGGGGGGGGGGCGAGGAGGGAAAGAGGGAGATAAAAAAAAACAAAGAGGGGAGAACAAATAAAGGCAATGATGCTCACAGACGCGAACAACGCCATCTGCACCTTTCATTTGAAGTGGATGTGCGGACAGATGTATCCAGAAAGACGACACACGGCTATAGCTCTGCTCTGACAAATGCACACCGCCTCAATGAAGGCGATGATCATCAGAAAAAACAACAGCAACGCGTTATCATTTTCGCCGTTGATACTTCACTTTTGATCAGCAAAGAGAGCTGCACGACTGTGAGGCACCTCCAGCTTCGCCACGAAGTCGCTGCCCACAGGCACAATGTGATAAGGGTTGATCTCACCATGGCTGCGGTAGTAGTGGTCCTTGATGTGCTTCATGTGCAACGTCGGCGCCAGGTGCAGCGTCTGGTACACATCGCGCAGCCACTCCAGCAGGTTGGGGCACTCGCGGATCAAGATGCGGTTGCACTTGAAATGCACGGAGTACACCTCATCGAAGCGCACGAGGCAGCAGAAGACGCGGATGTCCGCCTCCGTCACAGCGTCGCCGGTCAGGTAGCGCTGATGTCGCAGCAGCTCCTCCAGCTCGTCGATGGTCAAGAAGACGCCCTCCACCGCCTCATCGTACGCCTCCTGCGACTGCGCGAAGCCGCACTTGTACACGCCGTTGCACAGCGGCTCGTATGTGCGCTCGTTCATCGCGTCGATCGCCGGCAGCAGCGCCGCCGGGCTCAGGTCCACCGCCGGGTGCGTCGCGAACTCGTCGAAGGCGCTGTTGAAGATGCGGATGATCTCGGAGCTCTCGTTGTTGACGATGGTCTTGGTCACACGGTCGAAGAGGACGGGGACGGTGTAGCGCGTCTCGAACACGTTGTCGCTGTTCTTCATGGACAGGTCGTAGATGTCGCGGACCGTCTTGAAGAGGCCGAGCGGGTCGGGAGTGGCGCCCGGGTAGGACGGGTCAAACACCCAGCCCTCGTGGTCGTCGACGCCAGGCCTCGTGAAGGCCCACACAGGGGAGGTCACGGCGAGCTCGATGACGTCCTCCAGCCCTTTCGCGACGCGGTAGGCGGTGCAGCGGCTGGCCCACGGACATGCGTAGGACACGTAAAGAATGTAGCGCCCCTTCGCGGGAGGGTACTGGCCGCCCTTTTCGATCTTGTTGCGGAAGGCGGTGGGCTTGCGCTTGAAGGCGCCCTTCGCGTCCACATCCTCCAGCGTGGTCTTCGCCTTGATTTCCGTCGTCGCCATTGTGTACAGAGCCACGTGGGGTTGGTAGGCGGTGCTCAGCTTGAAGAAGGAGGTGGGGATCAGCCGAGGCAGGTGAAACGTGACGAACAGGACTGCAGAACTAAAGAAAAAAAAGAGATGATAAGTCTCGACGGCGTCAAGAAACAAAATGCAAACCGTTTCAGGTAAGTGGTCGGTGATGAAACGAAAGAATAAACTTTACTCCCTTTGAGAAGTCGCGGATGAAACGTGCCAGACGAGTTCGGTAAGTGTTCAGAGAGATGGGAGGCGATAAATAGAGAAGAAAGGGAGAACGGGAAAAGAACAAGCAAACAAACAGTACAAGGGAGCTGAGGCTGTCATACACACACATACACACACTCACCGTCAGAATGAGGCAAGGCAGCATTTTTTCGCAGGAGTAGCATGTGCATCTGCTGTATGCGCACATTTGCTGCTTTTTTTTTCGTGTGTACTCTCTCTCCTGCTTGTTTATCCACGTTGTACTCGATGCGCTTAAAATAAATAGTGGCGATGTAGCAGACAACAGCAACAGCAAAGCACACACACACACACACACACACACACACACACGCAGATTGATTGTGCCCAACCACGAAGGTTTTTTGTTTTACTATCCGCTGACAAGTTCAGCTTTGTTTTGTGCTGCTACACGACACGCCATAACAAAAAGAAGAAGAAGAATAAAGGCCTTCAACATATCATAACCTGAAGCTTTACGCTGTGAGAGAAGATATGCTTCCCTGCTGTACATTCTCTCTCTATCTAGATATATATATATATATATATATATATATATATA